TTGAAGAAATTGTTGAGGAGCAATCTCCATGTGTGATGGTGATTATCCGACCTGAGGATGATACCAAGGCAGCAGTGAAGACTATTCCTGAAGAACATGAAGGCTCAGATGTGGATAAACTCAAGAGATAGGGGTTGACAGAGGAGTTAATAAAAGTTCTCGATGAACACCGAGATGTTTTCGCCAAGGATCTACCAGCAGGAGTACCTCCGGTACGAAAAGGTCATGAATTTCATATTGACCTTGAGGCAGGAGCTGAACCTGTGAGTAGACCTTTGTACAAGCTAAGTCCACTTGAGCTTGAGGAAGTAAAGCGTCAGTTGGACTATTTGTTGAGCATGGGCTTTGCAAAGCCGTCCGAGAGTCCTTGGGGTGCACCAATTTTAATCGCACCAAAGAAGGATGGAGGACTCCGCATGTGTTTGGACTATAGGTGGCTAAATAAATTGACCAAGAAGAATAAGTATCCATTGCCATTACCTGATGAACTGATGGACAGATTGCATGGTGCAAAGATCTTTTCGAAAATCGACTTGAGAAGTGGTTATTGGCAAATGCCTATCCGGCCAGAGGACACAAGCAAAACTGCTTTCAAATGTCGATACGGGCATTACGAGTTCCTTGTTTGTCCGTTTGGAGTGACAAATACACCTCCACAGTTCCAGGCTATGGTGAATGATTTGTTTGCGGATATGCTCGATGATTTTGTGATTGTATTCTTGGACGACCTGATCGTATACTCCAAGAACATTGAGGATCATGCCATACATCTCAGTAGAGTGTTGGCAAGACTCAGGGAGCACAAGTTGTTTGCAAAGGCGTCCAAGACAGAGATTGCAGTGCCTGGTACAGACTTCGTGGGACATTGGATCAGTGCCAATGGGATATACCCATTACCGGTGAAGACCAAGGCAATTCTCAACTGGAAACCCCTGGAGAATGTGACTGACGTACGCAGCTTTTTAGGGATGACCAGTTTCTACAGAAGGTATGTTCACCGCTATGCTCATCTTGCAGCACCTCTGTATGAGTTGACTGTCAAGGATGCTGAGTGGCAATTTGGTCCAAGACAGCAAGAAGCTTTTGAATGTTTGAAGTCTGCATTGACCAGTTCTCCAGTGTTGATCCTACCTGATCCAGAGAAGCCATATGTAGTAGTGACCGATGCGATGGATACAGCCGTGGGAGGTACACTTATGCAGGACCACGGCAAGGGTCTTCAGCCAGTAGCTTTTCTATCAAGACGACTGCGTCCCAGTGAAGTCAAGTACTACCCGTATGACAAGGAAATGTGTGCGATGGCTTATTGTTTGTGCAAGTGGAGACATTATCTAGAAGGGAGTGTAGCAGGAGTGACAGTGATGACCGATCAGTCACCAGCAACGACTTTCATGAACCAAGCCAATTTGTCCAGAACACAGACTAGATGGTTGAAGCAAGGATACTTCGAGTCGATCATGCCAGCCATCAAGTATATTCCGGGCAAGGCGAATGTGGTTGCAGATGCAATTTCACGAAGCTTACCTCCTTTGGTGGACACAGCAGTGCAGGCACAGGTCAACAGTGTGGTGACCTCGTGTTTGAGTGATGAGGAGAGAACACAGTGGATTCAAGCATTGCATGATGATGTTTTTACGCAAGCAAAGTTGAAGCTATTGCAAGACGAGAGAACAATGCGTGATTTTACTGTGGATTCAGCTGGTCTCTTGTACTTTGAGCCTGATCAGCAATCGCGTCGACTTGTGGTTCCAGCCAGAGAGAGGCAACGTGTTATGGCGGAGCACCACGATGCCAAAACTGCTGGACATTGTGGGATAGAGCGGACAAGAGAGTTGATTCAAAGAGACTTTTGGTGGAGAGGTATGAGGCAGGATATCGCCCATTATGTGAGAACTTGCCCTGTATGTCAAGTAATGAAATCAGAGAATAGGGCCAAGAAAGGCTTGCGACAAGCAATCCCTCTACCTACACAGAAATTTGAACAGTTGACTACCGATCTTGTGACAGATTTACCTGAGTCCAAGGGCTACACTGCAGTGGCTGTGTTTGTCGACAGACTGACCAAGTTTGTGAAATTTATTCCGTGCCGGAAGGAATTGACGGCAGAAGGTTATGCTGAATTGTTTTTGCAACACATCTTCAGGCAGTTTGGAGTGCCAAGAATTATCATCTCTGATCGTGACCCAAGATTTTTGAGCAATTTCTGGCAGGAGTTGTTTCGTTTGCTTGAGACGCGCCTCAATATGTCCACAGCATTTCATCCAGAAACTGATGGACAGAGCGAAGTTTCGATAAGAACCATGGAGAATTTTCTTCGTCCATACATTGAGGCACATCCAGAGCATTGGGTTGATCAGCTTCCATTGGCAGAATTTGCTGCAAACAACAGCATGAATCTTGCAACAGGATACAGTCCATTCTACCTTCTGTACGGTCAGAATCCTGAGGTACCTGCGAGTTTGTTTACCTCACGTCAGCAGGCAACGAACATTGAGTCAGTTGAGACTATGTTGAAGCGGATGCATACAGCTATCAGTGATGCTAGTACCAATTACAAGCATGCTCAGGATCAGATGATCAAGACAGTCAACAAGCGAAGGAGGGATGTACAATTCAAAGTGGGTGATGAAGTAGTCATCAGGACATCCTTTTTGCCCGAACAGGCTTTTGCTCAGATTCCACCCAAGATTCGATGTCGATTTGTAGGACCGTTCAAAATAGTGAAGGTCATCAGTCCGGTGGCGTACACTGTTGATTTGCCAGCCACATGGCGCGTGCATCATACATTCCATGTGGAGAAGCTGAAACTTTTTGAGAGGAGTTCAGAGTTTCAGCGGAATGTCGAGTCACCCCCTCCACTGGAGATAGAGGGGCACCTTGAGTACGAGGTTGAGGCTATCATCCGGCACAAAGGTACAGGAGCGAGGAAGCGTTACCTTGTGGCCTGGAAGGACTGCCCACTGCATGAGGCTATGTGGGAGCCTGAGTCCAACCTTACTCATTGCAGCGATCTCCTTTCAGAGTACTTGCAGCGTCAACAAGCAGTAGCACAGAAGAACACTCGAAGTCGAAGGAAATCAACGAGACGTTAGTGATGGGCCTGCATGGAGTTTGGTGCAGTTGTTTTTGGGCATGATATGGGACACTTGGAGTGCTATGGGACACTCTGAATATCTTGCTTGATGGCAATTGTTGGTATGCTGGCATCTGTCGTTTCGCCTTTGATTTCAGTAGTGTCGTGCTTGTGTTTGCGGACAAACACTTTGCCCTGGGGGGAGAATTGATGCCGGTGGCACCACTCACATTGGCTGGTAGTACATTAAATTAGTTGTACATTAATATTTGTACATTATATCTTTCATTATACGCTGATTGACAGGTTAAGTGTGCGCGGAGCACACTCTGTAACGTCTCTCGTTGGGTTTCGCGCTCTCTCGCACGCAGCCCGCGCATGGTCCTCGCTAGGACCCGCATCAGTGTCAATGATTTGTTTCGTTGAAGTCTAATGTACTGACGAAGGCAGGCAGGGACGAGGGGTGGCGAGCTCCGACTGGGGACCGTGGCCCAAAGTATACGGCAACGGTTTACAGCGGAGAAAGGGACACACAGGAATTTGTTCCCTTATATCCAGTTCGTTCTTCAATGTCGTTAGTGCAGTTCCTAACACCTCGCCACCGCCACTTTATGCGTCCATCTGTTGATAATACTCGATCAGTTGTAGTCGTTATCATCAGTTTCTTACAGAACAAGGGGATGAGGTAGTTGTCAGCCTTCTATTTTGCCCGAGCAAAGCAGTGTCTATGATCAGTGCAATCTAATGGCAAATGCAAACAACGTCTTTGAATTTATCAACTCCTAATGCCAAGTAGCGATTGTCGACGATAACGCAACAACAGAAGTGTCCTCGCCAGCTGGTGAGCAGGAAACACATATGTAGTGGTAAACCACGTGGGTTACCCACGTGCACGTACTTTAGCCGCGCCAGACAGATGCAGACCAGGCCTCTCCTGCTGCAGAGCCGTAATTGCCGGACCAGCTATCACAACGAGCTGATGGGCATCGAATGCGGTCTCGATCTTTGAGAGACACCGCGGTCGCCTCCTTTCCCCGCAGGCGAAACGGGACGCGGCACACACGCTGTCCGTGGACAATTCGGAATCGAAGTCACAAGCACAGCAGCGATGGTGGGTCCAGAAAGAGCTGTCACAAGAATGTTCTGTGCGTGTTTATACTCGAAAAAGAATGTCCCAGTCCCCAGTCCTAGCCACCTTTCGAGAAGCCTCCAAAGCTGCAATCCCCCGGACAGAACCCCCTGAGCTTGTCCCCAAACGTCTCAAGTTCTCCAACACCGGTCCCCAGCATGGTACAACCCATCATACACTCCACACAACCGGCTCAATTCAGTCCCCACCAAGCGCGATCAGTCCCATGCAATCACGCTCAGCCCCAAGGGCGTCCCTCCATAATGACCTAGTATCCAAATCAATCAAATCAACAAATATGATGAAGTTGGTAATACCCGTGAGTACATTCCTTAGTTCCGGCCTTGACACTCCATCAAAACGAACGCACACAACTAAAATGGCTCACTGATGATGAATTCCCGGCCCAGTTCTCCATTCCCAGCTCAGGGCTCCGTGCCGGCTTAGTCACACGTCAGGGGTTCGTACATTGGGGCTTGCAGCAAGGGCGGCTCTCTCCAGGTGGACTCCTGGACAATGCAACGGAACAGGACAAATGGTACGCTTTTAACTCACTAATTCTAGGCCGTGCTCAGCAACTCAAACAAAGTTGGAGCAGATGACATCAACCAATCAAACAGCTCATAATACACAACCTCAAACTGGTCATCTCAGTAGGGGTACTCAGAAAATCGCCACACTAACGAAGTCCAGAAATCCACCCATCCTGACGCCAACAGCCGCTCGCGAGCCCGGCCCGCGCAACACGAGGCGGCGCTTCTTCAAGGCGCCCCTTCGCGCTCCAGGGCGTCCGCCGGGATGCCCAAGCGCAAGCTGGACGTGGAGGTGGTGGACGCCAAGACGGGCGCCTCGGGCGCGCCGCCCCTGGTCGCCATATTCCCCACCGGGCCCCCTGGCCCGGAGGGCGGCGCGGCGACGGCCGTGTACCGAAACTCCAAGTGGAACCGGTCAAACGAGTTTGTCGCCATACGCCAGCAGGTAGGCCGTGCATCCAGCTGTTGGCTGACATGGCAATGTTCAATGACCTGATTGTGCACATGGCGGTGCTGTGGGGTGCGCAACTGCAGGCGCAGGTGCAGGCGTGCCTCAGTTGCAGGTGCTCGCGAACGTCTACGCGCAGCATGAATTCTGTGCCCCTGCTCCTCGCTGGCCGGTCCTGGCGGTAGTCCTACGGATGGTTTGTGGCGCCTGCGTGCGGATTCTCCGTCAGATTCTGTTGAATGGAGATTCCCTGCAGATCAGTGCTGGGATTTCGGCGGGCACAGACCCGGGATTCGAACGTGTAGAGGAGCGTTTTGGCGCAAGCGAAACACGTGCGAGTTGGTGATCCTTGTTTGGAACGGCGTTTTTGGTAGATGTGCTGGTGGCGGGCCGAGAAATGCGAGGTACTTTTATTAGGGGACGGGACAAGCAACCGCGCAAGCGCCTGTTCTAGGATCTGGGGATGGCAGTGGCTGTATTGGTGGGAGCGAAACGGAAGGCAAGGTTCAATTGCAGATGGAACGCTGTGTGGGCCCCTCTGGACTGGGTCATATCCGAGCATGCAAGTATTGGCCGAAGTTTATGGGCGTCCTGGCCATTGTAATTTCCTCTTTTCCCTGGTACAGGAGACGCTGGACTACGTTGGGCGAACCTTCGGACCAGAGAATGAGTACTACCAGCCGTGCAGGTCAGGAGTGGGTTGTGGTTTGTGCAGATGAGTGCCTGACGATATCTGCAGGGGCTAACTAGGCGCAGAGTCCTGGAGGCTTGCTATGCAGCAACGCGAGTGCACAAAACTCTGTCTTGCAGCGCCGTATTTGCATTGGGCTTTTGCTGTGAGGGTAGAAACATTGTGGAAATGGGAGAAAGCCCTGCCGTGTTGCCTGTTGGGCGTTGTTGGGCTTCTGGCGGTCGCCAAAAAGCCAGGGTAAGAGACTGTCCAAGGGCAGCAACAAAGCTGTACAGACTGTATAGACTGTGTGCAGTTGTGCCCCATGTCTAGTACCGCTGGAGTCCTGGTTTGCATGCCGCTGATTTGTGACTGTGCATGCTGTGACAGTGTTGACAGTCTCGAAAGAATTGGACAGAGAGGGTGCAAATTCCACGCTTGGCTACTCGCCTGTCCTGAGTACGCCATCTCACATGGGCGTTTGGACATATAATCAGCCGCATGGTTGTGCGTGAAAGCTATTGCTGCATTGACAGCAGTGCTGGTTCTTGGTAGAACCAGCATTGGAAGACGAATCAAAATATTCTAAGGGGCAGAAAGTTGTTGCCAGCTTCAGCACACAAACTCTGGATGCCTCTGCTGCTCCTAAACCCCTAACCGTCTTTCCACCACCTGTGAACCACGCAGTTTTTGAGTGTCTCTTTCTGCATGTGCCCAGCTTCGTTATTGGCATACATGACAAGAAGGCAAGGCGGCTGCGCATACTGCCGATTGCAGGGAACAGGCTGTGTCGCATGGAACCCCGCCTACACCGCCTGGACTATGGCCAGGGGGCAGAGATCACCAAAGTTGGAGAAGGCACAGTGAAGGAAGGGAGGGCAAGGTATGTAGAGGGGGATCCTTCCAGCATTGAGAGTTTGTTGCCTCCCTTTCCCTCCCCCTCGCCCTCAGAGGGTGTGCAGGGGCTTGCAACCTTTGTGGACATAATTCCTGTTGTTTTGGCTGTTGGAACTGCTGTTGATTCACTTTTTCATTCGTTTGGGCTGTTACATGCCTTCCATTCAAATCGAATGGCAGCAGTGCCCGAATGCGCAGTCCAGAGTATATTTCGAGGGTGAACTCTATCTCTTAGTAGCCAGTGTGGCACCCCTTTGAAGTACATGCAATGCACAGTGTATCACTGTATTTCCTTCATGTCTCTTATAACAGTACATGGCCATGACGCTGGGATGGGTGGCACTTTTGTTGCTCAATCATATATATAGTATCATATTGTACCTTCAACTGGTGTCAGAATACTTCTTCTTATCTCCTCTGGATAATGCTGCTTCTTTTTCGAACAGTATATATCAAACAGATGTATTGCAAGCAGCTGCAGGTTAAATTGTGGAACAACTGCAGTGTATGCTTGCACCTGTCCTAGGCTGCCAGAGTTATGTCCGCAGCTGCCACAGTGCTGCAAAGCAACCTCCATGAGAGCAACTCTGGTGTCAGGCATTTTTGGACACCGTGAGGCTGCCTGCCCCTCTTGTGGGATTCATTCATCATATGTGTTCATCATATATTGACATTTGACAGAACCAACGTGCCGTTGCCACTGGTAAAGAGACAAACAATGGCGTCATACACAACGGAGGTGCACTTCGCTGCAGGCAGCACGACAATTAATTTTGAAGTGTCATGTTCTCAGAATATTGGTTAATTGATTCCTTGACAAACCACTGCATCTGTATTGTGCTCTTGATGGGTGTACAACGAACTGTGCACCAGGCGTGTGTTCCATGCTGTCTTCCACAGCTAGGAGAGTGCGTTCAACTGCTCTTCTGCTCTGTGGTATGCCAGGCTGCTGCAGGCGTTCGGAAGCGAAACCGCAAAGAGGAGGGTCCGCAATGCAAAGAGGAGTTCAATAGATGCGGCCACCATCCAAGCTGGCGATGCAATGACAGGATTGCTGGAGGAGTCTTCGAAGGTGGCTAGAGCAGAGGGGAAGAGTAGAGAGCAGGTGTGTATGTGATTGTTGATATGCACTTCGAAATATTTGAAGCTTGCAATGTACCATACTTCCTCCGTCCCATGTCAATTATTGTTTATTTGATTGACAAAAGTCGTCACAGAAGGGCATTAAATGTACAAAAGGAGGTCATCATCGGAAGCATTGGGTCCCAAAATCCTTAAAACTACCAATCATCAAGAAGAAAAAGTGAGACCCGACCCCTTTCAGCGTTGGGCGAAAAGTATATTTTAGTCAGTTTTGAGCGAAAAATCCGAAGTTTCCATGCTACAAACTGATGCCAAAACAGCAATTCTCAACAGGTGTAGTTGGCTTTTGACTGCATACATCAAACTGATAAGAACAGCTTTGAAGAAAGCTTCATGGAAGAATAGAGTCTTGACGACGGAGAAATAATGCACCAAAATCATATATGACATTGAGCATAGGACAGAGGAAGTGTATAAACCTTCCCATCCCCACCCCCACCCCTTTCAAGGCTACTTGGGCCATTGTATACTTTGCTGCACTACAAGAGCCAAGACAGTAAGTCGCTCTTCCCTATTTTCTGTCACGTTTCAAACACAGCAATGATGCCTGCAGTATGGGCCTGAAAACCCTGAACATTGAGTTGATGTGCTGGTGTAAGTATACACCAAGTTGATAAGTGTTAATAATTTTGCTTCCCAAGCATTACCAACCCGATTCCACACCTGGGCAGTGTTGAATGGTTATCAGGCAGTTGCACGTTGGAGTCAGTGCTGCGTAAATAACTGGTTGAAATAACATCCACTATTGACACAAATAGCAGAAACTACAATTGAAACTAATGGTGTCAGGCTATGATATGATCCTTCCTGAAGCTGGATAAACTGGAAATCCCCCAATTAGAGCTGATAATAGCCTGATTCGAAGCTCGCATTCATGGCAAAACAATCAAGACAGCAGGGGCTTTCCATCGTTGTGCATTGCTGTTGAGTCGCCACAGATTCCCATCTGCTCTGACAGAACCAACATGGCAGCTGCAACCTCAGAAATTGCTATGCATGTATTAGCAGTGCTCCTTGCTCTTCACCTGCAGTGCAAAGCTGCGAACACAATCAAAAGTCCTCGACAAGTCAATCTAGTGCCACAATCTGTAAGCAGCACAGATCCCAGCCCAAATTCAAAAATGGTGTGATTTGTCATGTTCGCACAGATGTGAACAGCATCGATTTATGTGCAGGTCCTGGCAGCGGCCAACTATTCATCCAGCCTTCCCCCCTGCGACCTGGATGCCTGCACAGGCGAGATAGCCTATCCCTTCGCCAGGCTGTGTCCACCTCCGCTGTGGCCTGCACTGAACGGGACACGCTTCACCAAGGCCACAACTGATGCTGAAGTCAAGGAGAGCCTTGAAAAGAGCAGGGTGGGAACACAGCACCGACTGTGGTGGTGTTTCATTCATGCTGTTGGATTAGTTCATCAGCATGAGCAGCAGCGAAGTTGTGCAGCACATTACTGCTGGACTATGTACTTTGTTGGCCAAATTATTCTCTGTTTTGCACCAGCAATTTCATGGTTGAAAATGCAAAGTGCTCCCATTGCAGTTGTAGTTCCGCTGGATCAAAGGATTTCTTCTGCTTTCTGGCTATGCCACTGTCATGCCACTGTGGTAGATCGCTTGCTGCGATTGGCTAGCAACAGCAGCACGGCCTAGGAACAGCTTTCATCATTGGGTGCAATTCTTCCCTGGTTGCCGATTTTGGAAAGGAGTGAGCTGTGGCGCACGAACTGAGGTAGTTCGTGCTCTCTGCCATCATGAAGTTTTCATGATGGGCTTTCGCGGTCTGCTTGCCTACAATCCAGTACTCCTCAGTTGTTGCATTTGCCAAAGCATGTAAGAATGTACCACCTAGAATGCAAATCAGTATGGCTGTGGGCATAGCTGCACCTCGAAAACAATTACCTCGCCTTGAAAAAGCAGTGCAATACCCAGTCGGCGACAAGGCCATGCACGTTGGGCCGTCATTTCCGCATTTATGTTCCTATGTAAACGCCCTGCCGACGTGTTGATGTCCATACTGAACGTGAGCGATCCTCTGTCATGGTCGTTGGCCATTTCCTGCTGCTCGCTCCAGCCATGGCAGTAGTCTTGCTTCCTTCATGATGAAGTTCTTTCAGGGCCCAGAACAGATGATGATTCAGTCATTCCCATGCGGAGTACTGTCCTGTTCAGTGCACGAACAAGTTAAAAAATGTGGTGTGTGACTCTGCTCTTTGATGGTCTTCATAATGTGTAAGTATCGTTGATTTAACTCAGCACCGCCAACACACACCTGAGCAGCACCGTTTTGCCACCTCACAGGTGCCGGCGTACGTGATGAGTCGTCTCTGCAAGGCTGCCCCTGATGGTGACAAGTCGGAGCAGAAGGCTGTGCAGCTGGCTTTCTTGGGTGAGCTCATACGACTGTATGATGCGCCCAATGTGCTGCGCACACAGCCTGGCTTTGCGGGGCTGGAGAAGCTGGCACAACAAAGACACATGGACTGCAGCATCGTCGAGCACCTGTTAGGGCTGTTCTACAACCGAAGGTATGCAGATGCAAGTAGCAGCCATGGACGTTGCTGGACACGTGCAGATGGTAGTGCAAATGGAGCAGTACACTGTGGTGGTCGTAGACTGGTAGACTGTGTTGGACTGCAGCTGATGGTTGTACACTGCAGCGCGTTGACACATTACAACAGTAGGCACTGTGGGCGGCCGCAGGCAGCAGTATATAGGAGTGGTATAGTTAAGCAGATTGGTGTTGGACAACAGACAGTGAGAGGGGCAGTAATGGAGTTGCAGACCGTGGCAGCACTAGGGAACTGTGCACAATAGATGATAATGGTGGCCACCACGACCATCACAGCTCTCCATGGAGAGCTGTGTGCAGCAGTAAGCAGTCATTGGCATCAGGGCAGACCAGCGCAAAAAGCCCTAGGCACAGCTGAATATGGCTGATAGTCTTGTCAGGGTTTTGGGAGCTGTATTGGAAATTATGACCCATAAGTTAAGGCTAATGAACACAACCTTGTTGCCCGCCAGTTCACTGTATGCATGATGGTATTTGTCACTGTGCATGGTGTATCCATTACCATAGCAGAGGAATTACAGATGTGTGGTTCAAGAAATTGACAAGAAAGTGGATTCCATTTTGCTCAAAACAGGCTAAACGCAACATCCCCGAGATTTGTTGATCCAAAGTACTATCATCGCAAATTGTGACCCTTCTGTAACCTGGCCTCATGTAAAACGTCGGGGGAATGGGAGAGGGGCAGCGATGGTAGATTCTCAGGCCATGAGCCACTCGAATGCCCGGCATCGCCCTCTTGGTGAACGTCATCAGTCCGTCCCTCCACTAAAGTAAAGAGCACAATTGCTGTTGCCGCTGGTGGCAGAGCGCAGCGCTTATTGCATCTTTACCTCAGAGGGTGCTCCCCTTAGACGAGAGGATGTTGCTGGGTCAATTGGCACTTCAAAGCACTGCTTCCCAGTGTGGAAGTTCACCAATGTGTCCAATGTGTTGTCAGGTGTTTCCATGTGCACGTGGGTCCGTATCTTCATTGCACATAATGTCATACCTGCCTAATGGACAATTGTAACTGTTTCCGCCAATTTTGCATCGACATTGCTAATTTACATTTTAACTGACTCCAGTACATTTCCAGTTGACTTGCCTGCTTTCGGATGTTGCGCCTGGGGCTGACATCATTCTGTGTCGTTGCATCTCCGCAGAGCTATGGGCGGCATGACGCAATTTCAACGTCCCGACTCGCAGCTGGTCCTGCACTCGTTGTACGTGCTGGTGGTGGCACTCCTCATCGACGACTGCAGCCTGGACGCGGAGCAGGTGGACCAGTTGGCCCGTGAACTGAAGATTAGGCTGTCGGTGCTGACTGGCAGGTTCAGACACCTGGGGTGCAGCGTGCGGAGCCACACGCGGGCGGGTCGGGAGGCGGGCTATAGCGTGACCCTGCTCCTTGGGACTGAGGGCAAGAGCTTGAGGGACTCGCTGATGCCCATCAGAGTGGCGAGAAGACGGTAGTAAGCAGGGTAATCGTGAGCCTTATGTACCATTGTCAAGGAAAGTGGCCAGTTCCCGCAGTTCTTACCATTAGTGTGCAGCGTATTAAGTTTCTGAAGATGTGTACCAGTAGTGCAAAATCGTGCTGAAAATGGACCGGATTGAGTGACTGTCGGCGCGGCCTCACCATACTGTCGATTCGACACTGTCGAACATCATCATCATCATCGAAGTCCGTCGATTGCATTTGCCATGAAATGGCGAAACACGGCCCTTGCCCCTGATAGGCGATGATGGGCGTGAGAACCAACGATGTGGGTGTTTGGAATCAATTGCTCATGGTACCTTGAGCACTGCCAGACAATGTGCGGAGGCTGCGTCTTTACCGACCATACGCAGCGAATCAACGCCCACGTGCCAGTCGCCCTGCCCTGGGCCGGCTCGAATCGTAGATGTCACCGATAACACGCAGCGCACGCCCATGAAAGTTTCTCAGTGCAGGCGACATTTGCAGGTGCATTCATGGGGCCGTGCTGCCATCCGCTTCGCTCCACGCACGTTTCTGTGCAACATGCCACGCTCATTATGGGACGATCCATGTGTCCATGCGCGGCCACGGTGTGGAATCGCCTGCTCTCGCGTGCTAGCCTTACTCGCGGGCTCTCCAGCGCGTCGTCAGCGCGGCAAAGCGACAACATGTCTTTCGGGATACGATATGACCAAATTGTCACGGTATACGGTCAGAGTGACCAATTCCAGCGGTTTGAGGAAGCACACACCCGTTTCTCACAGATGCAGGCACGCGGCCATGCCGTGTGGGCCCCGCATACAGGACTGGAGCCTCAGTTCCCCCTGGAAAATGGGCTCGCTGCCCCTGACAACAAAGTCATACAACTATTGACACCAGCTCCCACACACGTCGTCCGATGTGATGCAAACACAGCTCCCTCCCAGTCACACCTACCGCTCGGAGCAACAAGACAGATTCGAGGAGCAGACACCATGTTCAGGCGCGCACACCCTAAGGCGACGTGGAGAGACACATCGAATTCCAAGAAAATGCTATTTTGGGAGAAAGTGGCACGGCGCTCAGTACTCTGCAGTACTTGCTTGCACAGCTACTTCCTGAAAGGGCATTAGAAGGAAATCTCTTACCCCTCCAAGGGGCCACCCATTCCCAAAGGTTTCAGCTGCCAATATCCAGTGCAAATAACTTAATGCTTCTCCAAGCATCACCTAACACACGACTTAGTGAAGGCACTGCGTCGAGTTTGGCACGCTTGGGGAAAGCACTGTGTCGATTCTGCGGCAACTGCACAATCGCGGCGTCACAGACATAGACCCCTCCTCCCTTAGTGTCAAATGGATGCTAGCAACGCCAAGTTCGACGGGAGCCTTTCCAATTGACAAAGCTTTTGTTCGGTAATTAATGAGCCCGTCACCTTCTCCCACACCTGTTTTTTTGTCACAATGTGTGGCTGCCGACCCCATCAGGAGTGATCTGTGCCACACCCCGTTTCGCCATGGAAACCTGCGCCACATTGCTCATGGATCAAGACCGCACTCAACGCCGGTGAACACAAATGATTTTGTTCATTCCAAAATATTACTTCCTCCGTCCCAGACTAATTGTCGTCTGTTTGAAAGGCTAAATTTGTTATAAGGACAGCCTCAGAATTTGAAAACAAGGCCAAAATCGAAAAGATTGCATCACAAAACCCTTGGCTATCAATTTTAAAGAAGAAAAAGTGAGACATGTCCCTTTTGAGCGTAAGGAGAAAGTAAATTGTGGTCATTTTCAACCCCAAGTATTGAGATTTACTATGTAAAAAGACCCTTGATACAAAATACTGCCAAATCCTCAATACTTAATGGATTGACTTGAAAAATTTATGGTGTACTCCTGACTCAAAAAGACAACCGTAAGCGAAATTTCAATAAAAACAAGCGCGGGTATGGTGAAGAAATAATGCCCCAAAATCATAGACGACAATTAATCTGGGACGGAGGAAGTACATCACATTTTGTCGTCAAAGAAATAATCAAATCAAAGAAATAATAATGTAATAGTCAGAAAAACTACAAGTGATTATCCGCCAGACCAGGTCAAACTGCACCGGGGACCAGCGGCACCAAAAGGCCCGGCTGCGACCGGGTGCGGCGTAGATCACTGCGACATTTTATTCCTTCCCACGCGGGATGGACAAAAAAATGCGTGGGAAAAATGCCTGTGCCTTCCACACAGGGCACCTTCATTCCATTCCGTGCGCACGCCCGCCTGGCTACCCACCAGCATCGACCCAGGACCGCTCCTGTGCGCCTCGCCAGCCGCACTGCCCCACAAGGCCGGCCCGCGCAGGCGCCATGCCCCGCCCCGCCTCCGGCCCCCTCCTGCTGATCGCCCTCAGCCTGGCCCTGCCATGCGCCCTGGCCGCCGTTCGGGATCCCTACGCCGCGCTGTCCCTCCCCCGCACTGCGTCCGCGGACGACATCAAGCGCGCCTACCGCGCCCTGGCCCGCAAGTATCACCCGGACAAGAACCCATCGCCCGATTCGCAGGCGAAATTCATGCGCGTGCAGGAGGCCTATGAGATTCTGGGCGATGCGGAGAAGAAGCGGCGTTATGACGCCACTGGATCGGTGTCAGGGGCAGACTTTGGATCCCAGAGGTGGGGGGGACCTGGACAAGGCTTTGAGTCGGGTTGGGCGAGGAGGAGGGAGAGGATACCCTCGAGCACGGCCAGGCTGACTGCACTTGAGTTTGCGCAGAGGGTGTTCCGGGGGGGTGCTGCGTGGCTGGTGCAGGTGTATAGGGATGCGGATTGGAGGTGCTTTGCTGTATCGGAGGCGTGGGAGGCGGCGTGGGGGAGGATGAGGGAGGAGCTGGGCGAGGTGGGGCAGATGGGGCGGGTGGAGGCGGGCCGGGAGCCGTGGCTGGTGGCCGCGATCGCTGATTACAACACCTGGCTGGGGGGACTGGTGAGGCTGGGGATATCGTGGAGGGACCTGCCCGTGGTTGTGGGGTACCCGCCGGGATGCAGGGAGTATTCTTGCGGCGTGGGGTACTCGGGCGCGATCACTGCGGACGGGCTGGTGGCGTTTGTGGCGGACAGGCTGTTGGATTTGCCCAAGTTGGAGAGGGTGGAGCCGGGGGGGGTGGATGGGTTCTTGAGGCGGGCGGGGGAGAGGGTTGCGGGGCTTGTGTTTTACGGCCCCGGCGCCCAGGCGCCCGATCTGATTGCCCTCCGTGCCGCCCTGGCGAGGATGGAAGGCAGGCTGGTGGTGGGTGTGGTGAGGCTGACAAAGGCGAGTCGGGAGTTTTGGAGGGAGAGGGCGGGTGTGTGGGCGGGGCCTGCGATTGCTTTTTTCAAGGGACCCGGCACCACGCCCCGCGTGCACCGGTTCGACAAGCTCGGTGGTAACAATGCATGGCGAAGGCTCTTTGAATCCAACTTGTGGCAGACGGTCCCAGAGCTGACATCAGACAGTGCGGCTGCCTTGGGGTGCACCGATCGCACAGGGGCAAAGTCGCCTCCCACGTGCGCGGTGCTGATTGGCAGACACGGCGAGCCGCTCTTGGCCGCAAGGGCGATGTTCGCAGGCCTGATTGAGAACCTGACGAGGTGGGCAGACGCCCCAGAGCACGCTGACCTGGCCAAAGCGCTGAAGGCTGGCCAGATCAGGCTGCTTTGGATGAACGCAGCCTCTCAGCCCCAGTTCTGCGCCTACCACCTGGCGTCGCTAGGAAAGGAGCTCGCAGACTCCGCCTGCCGCGGCAGTCTACTCACGGGGCTGGGCTCCTACGTGGGCCAGGGCTCCAGCAACGACAGCGTGCATCTCTTTGCAGCGCACTGGCACCTAAATAGGCTCAGGCGGAGGCATGGGGTTGCAGTATACCCCGGTGGTGACGTCTCCCGCCTGCACACCCCTGAACAGATTGTGGATCTCCTCTTTTGGCTGTCGCGCTGTGCAACCGAGCCTGACAGCATGCTGGAGAAGCGTGATGCCGAACCCCCAGCACTGAACCCAAGGGCTGATCCAAGACCTAGTGACCTGCGAGGGTGGATCCTTTGGTTGCGCAGCATCATCGTTAGGATCTTGATGGTGGTGACACCATGGAAGGAGGACCAGATGGTGGAGGTCTTGTGGCAAGCAGGCACAGCCGTGCTGTTTCTACTCTTGATCCACAGCGTGATGGCACCGTCCAATGGAGAGCACAGGGTGGGGGGGTACTTGAGGACGGCGCTGATCTGGATGGCACCCATCCTCTTGCCCATATTGTTCTTCTTCGTGGCCCCAGATGTGGGGCAATGGTGATGACATGCCGTGTGAAGATGAGTGAGTCAACATCCAGAGAACTCAGTCTTCACTATTCTGCAGGAACTGGGATGAAGACTCTGCAAGAAAGGTGTAGAGTCTGAAACTGTGCTCAGGAGCCAGGCTTGGTGCTTGTACTGGCACTTTGCATGCTCAGTCCGTCCTTGCTCCCCTGAGGGAACATGTCCAGCATGAGCGTTGTACTGCAGTGTCGGCACTCTGAAGGACAGCATGATCGTGGACAGCATTGCGATTAACCCCGACGGGCCTTTCTTGGGGTGTGCAAGATTTGGGATTGGAATGAAAGTGAGCCTGGGAGACAGCATCGTGGAGAAATGCGATGGCAGTTACGATGCCATGATCATCTTTGTGCCGCCATCACAGAAGTCTCAAGGCCAGAACGCGGCTGGATGACAGCCATTGAAGTCCTTTGTGGACAGTCCTTTCTATGGATGCTCTGCTACCGGATGGCCAGCCCTGTCAACACTTTTGTGCTGTCATCAGTGGAAGTCCCAAGAAATGGGCTTGGCTTGCAAGCAAGTGTAGCGATGCACTGCTGACGAATCCACGCTGGGATGATGACAGAACCTCGAAAGCACCACTGGAGCTTCCAGATTGGCACCTTGAATGTGAGTGGATGGTGTCCTCCCCACGCCCCTTTGCATGCTTGCAGTAAGTAATTGACAGAAAATGGCTTTGCAGTGCCCTGATCTGCCATGGAGGACATTACTTCATGTACTGTCAATGGAAAGGCCTGTGCTGGATGCTGCTCACTGACTGTCTGAGTTGAGAATGCGATTGTTGCAAACCGAAAGGAGAGATGCAAACAGTTATACGTAGTTAGGGAATGGGAGTCGCATGGTGTTTTCAAACCTCTGGGTGTGTGGCTGGACCAGGTTGGAAGAAGAACGAGATGCAAGAGACGGCATCTGAAGTGCAGGACTGCGTTGGTTGTCTGCCTGCATTGTGCGATGCCAGATGCTGCCAGAAAGCGCATCGAAATACAGCAGAGGTGTCCGGCTGTGGCCAAGAATGCTCAGATGCAGCAGCCGTCAGTACACAATACACCAACAGGTTTATCCAGAATGACCCAATTTGGGGCATTGTTCTTGAACACAGAGCTATGGGTACATGTGCGTAGGCCGTAGCAGCCCAATTGGGGTTGATGCTGCAACGTTTCTCGAATCAGCAACCGGATGCCGCTGTGCAACCAGCACAACGGGGTGAGACCCTGTGAACTGTCCCTTTCCGTGCATTTTTGGGCTGTGGATGCACTTGGTAGCTGGGCTCACGAGCAGCGAATACTTCAAGTTGTGCGCTCGAATACAATTCGGGTCCATGGAAGTGTGCCCAGCATGCTCGACGATTGTGTGCAACGATTTTGAATGGCACTGGGGCTTCACATCTGGTAAGATCCGCCAATTCAAACGTGTAAGATGCACGTTGGGAAACACCCGCGCCACCTCCATATCTCTTGATCTAAGGCGACTCCCTTGCGCTGCCTGCGCCCTGCCAGGGCTGGCTCATTCCTCTGGGCCTCCCTATCACCAAGTTACCGATGTCATCAACAATCAACAAACACGATATCAATATGCATCGGCGCACAGAATTCTGGCCACCTTGCCCTCACTCTAGAGACTCCCAGGATGACAATCCCCCCACTGCTCCTATCTGGATGAGAACGCCGCCGTGCCCCGCGGCAGAGCCCTCCCCACGTCCTTCGGAATGTCCTTAAGGAACCAGGGGTCCCTCCAGATGTCCGCTAGCGTCGCTCTGGACGCCGGGTTGGGCGCCATCATTCCCCTGATCAGGCGCATGGCGCCCTCGCTCACCCTCTTGGACACTCCGCCCACCCTCACCGATTCGTACAGCGAGCACTGGATCCCGTCCAGGTCCACGACGTACTGGGGGTCGCGGCCGGGCCCGGCGTTAGTGAGCTGGGGGTAGATGCCGTAAATCATGACGAAGAGGCAGACGCCGCAGGACCATATGTCCGCCATCTGGCCGTTGTACGCGGTGGCCGACTTGTCGCGTCTGTGAAAGACCTCGGGGGCCAGGTAGGTGGGGGTGCCGACGTTGGAGATGGTGGGGTTGACGCCGCTGTACTTGGCGAAGCCGAAGTCCGTAAGGTAGATAGAGGGGAAGTCGGCGTCCGAGTCGTCTATGAGGATGTTCTCGGGCTGCGGGGCGCACGCCAAACTCAGCACAGCCCTGATGGGTGCATACGTTCGACGAATGAACATCGAAATGCCCAATCTATTTACCGATGGAACACTGGAAACATGAACAAATTAGGCAAACAGTTAGGCGATGAAAATTTGCGATGAGCACAACACCCAGCACACCATTTGCACACAAAACGCATGGCACCAAATCTCCCGGAATCTGGGCGAATTTTGGTCCCAAACAGCAAGAGTAGACTTGTTGGCAGTCGTTGCAACGTCAGCGTAGTTGATGGTTGAGATGACAATCCTTCTTGAGAATTCGCCAATCCGCCAACGATAGTTCACGCAGTTTGACGCACCGTGCCTTCCAAGAAGTTAAAAGGATGTCAAAAACCGCAGGCAAGCATGCACACGGGCGCTGCCAAACATTGCAGCCAAGGGACGTTTCTTGCAAGCTCAGGCGTGGCAAAGCTTCTGATACTCTGCTCACCTTGATGTCTCGATGCGCGGCGCCGACCGACTCGTGCAGGTACAGGACTGCGTACATGAGCTGTTGGAAGATCCACCGCGCCTGATGCTCGGGCAGGCACCTGCGACATGCTCAACGGCGCGCCTGCTCACAAGTGTCGACGCATCAACATCGACATATGAAGCGAAACAAGCAGCAAGCAGGGGTTTATGATGCTATGAAAAAATGGAGATTCAACGGTAGAGAAATCAACACGAAGGCGCACACAGATGACATGTCCATTCCTTTGGAATACTTAAGCAATCGATACGTTCTCAGAAGACCATCACAGTTGTCCTAATTCTCTGGTCCCAAACAATAGCACACTAGGAATAGTTGTGTCGCCACATGGATGCGGCTCAAAGATCTGCAAACATCATATTTGGAAGACGTGAAATAAGTAGTTCCTTGCCTCATCTTAGGAAATGCGCAGAACAAGGAAAGTCCCTAATTTTTCATCGATAGCCTTATCATTTAGGTACCTAGCATCCAATGCTTGAATTTTGTATCTGAGTTGGAGGGCATTCTCCACACTTGACAACCGTGGCTGGGCATAAACTTCTGGAGGGAATGATTTGATTGCATTTGCGAAGGCAATTATGACAGCTAATTTTGTATGGAAGAAGCATCTGCGGTATGGCAATTGTGGAGACACTATTTCGCCAAGAGCGACGAATGTGAGCCTCTATGCTCCTTATCTCTACCAGCAGCGCTGGGTCCAAGCGAAACTATTTCTGTGCTCTTCAACAAGTCATTACTTTAGTTCAACACAATTCACTCTGTTTGCCTAAATGCAACCAGTAAATCTCCAACCAGTATGAGCCTCTCAAGTCTCAAGCACGTTCTCCCCCTTCTCTCCTTCCCTCCATTCAATGCTTCGATGAATGGAGCGGGTTGACAAATGCCGGCCAATTGCAAGCAGAAATCCACCCAAAAGTTGGCAATCCTACAGCTCTTTACGATTATGACCTGCCAAGTCAACGCACACCACGCTGGGAAAACACCCACGACTCGGCAACGCAGCTCACAAACAGGCAATATGTGGCCAAATAATATTGCACCACACAGCATGTGCTGCACAGCATGGCGACGCTATGGCAGCCTGTGTTTGTCTCATGGCCATCATGCATAGAGACAAGTTGTGCTGCGCAATGCAACTGTTGGACAGTCCTGCCCAAAGTGCATTGGCAACCAAGCCCTCAGCAAGACAACAACAAAGTACTGGCACCAAACAACTCAACTTCCACCATCGTGCATGGACAGGAAAAGTTTGACCTTGACTGCTGACAGGTGTATGCTGGTCAGCAGGTGCATTGCTTTGGAATCTGGACATGCGGCACACAAACTACTCCCACAACTCCTGCCACGGCCATAAGCTGAATTGGCAATTCACAGTGCATGTCACTGCACATGGGGAAAACACATCATTGGTCTCCCTTCATGACCAAAGTGAAGGACCAACCTCCAAGTATCTAATTCATAATTTATGGCCCCATTCCCATCCAAACATCGTCACTCTGCACCCCAGTGGCAATACTTCGGACAACCTCCCCCTGTCAAACCACACACGTATCCCCACCTGCAGCTAAACCCCGTCCTCTCCCGTCCACCCCCCTGCCACAACCCATTCCCATGCCCCACATGCCAATGCCCACACCACGCCCCGCATCCAGCCTGCAGGCCAACCTGGGTCACAAGCACACACACACCCTTCCCCACACTCCACGTGTGCACAATGTGGGACGCCAGATCGTCCTTTCAACAGAATGGAAAAATGAGCACGTCCAGCAGCCCCATCCCACCCCCACCCCACCCCCTGCCTTTTCACTTCCCGGCATGACCTCCAGACAACAACACACTTTCTGCATATAGCTTCTCGTCGATCTGCCACTTGGACAATCCTGCGGCCATTTCACTGCGCGCATCCATTGAACACCGCGCGGCGTTCTGGGGGCTGCCCAGTCTCCGCTTCCTTCCCACGCAACACTCAATTGAACGAGAAAATTGATGAAGCAAATTGATCGCGAGGCTCCTCCCCTTCCGCGCCAGGCGGCCCACAAGGCGCTCGGCGCGACATCGGCCATGGCGCCCAGCGCAATGCGGCTTGCAGCATCCGGCGCCCCGCCTCACCTCCTCTTCGACACGTAGGCGAACAGGTCACCGCCTCGGACGTAGTCCATCACCAGCGCCACGAAGTCATCCTCCATCTCCACCTTCTCGTGCACGTGCACAATGTGCTTGTGCCTCGCGGACTTGTGCACGCTCACCTCCTGCCGGATGTACTTATGCTGCACCTGACGCGTGTCGATCACCTTAATGGCCACGAAGGGATTGTCCGTGTGGGACCGCCGATCATCGCGCGCCAGAACCACCGTGCCGTAGGTGCCCTCGCCGAGGTCCCTGACAAAGGTGTAGTGCTCTGGCAAGGGCACGGGCATGGCGATGGGGGATTTGGGGGCGAGGTGGGGGGTGGGGGTCGAAAGGAGTTGTGGGGGGTGGGGGAAGGGGGGAAAGTGGTAGAAGGGGAAAGGGGAAGGAGGGGGCAGGCGCGGGGAAGGCCTGTGCCAAGAAGCGCCAACGTGCCGAGGAGTTACGGGGCTTTGACGGGCCTTCAAGGTCGGGGGAGAAAAAGACTCGCCGGGTGAAAAAGTTCGGGCACGTGAAGGTTCACAGCCGCGAGTCAAAAAACCATCGTTAGTGGTTGGGGAGCAGTGGCACTCCAATAGCACCCCGATGCTATTCGGCGCCAAGCGGTGCTGTTTGGGTCCAAAATGACACCGCTCGAGGCCAAATTGCACATCAGAATAGCACCGGTGCTATTCGCAGCAAACGCGGCGTGTGGGAGTTGCCTTGCAAATAGCAATCCCTATTAAAGTGGTGACTTCCTAGGATCCTTCCTGCGCGTAGTAATTCCTTCCCTTTCCCCTTCCCTTTCCCTTCCCCTTCCCTTGTTGGGCGGAAAAGTTCGGGTGCAACGCCCAGGGGGATGTGGTGGTCGCCCTTCCGTTCTGGTGATGCAGGGAGTCTTGCAGTACCGTGTTTATGCTCAACCCTTGTGTGTAGTAACTTAAACGCTTGGCCTTCTTTTGCGGAGAAACAGTAAAATAAATAAGGCTCTTTTGCAAAAGTAAAATTACGCTCTGAAAAAATTGCGGAGCAAAAAAACGTAACTGTAAAATTGTTTGATGCGGAGGGGTTGCATGACTTATAAAGTCTTACTTGTGGTAGTTCGGTTTTGGGATTTAGGGTGCGCACCGGAGCAAGAAAACAGGGGAGTGATTGCATGTTTTTTCCATGCGCGATTTCGCCCGTACGCAGTTTTGATGGCGGCGCAATGGAGTCAAACAGGGCAGTCAACTCGCGCAGCGAGCCCAGTGTTGGTCGACTAATGCAAAAGAGCCCTGCTGTCACACACCCGTCCATGAGCTCTGTGATTTCCTGCTGAAGCTCTGCTATCAGCAAGTTTTCATGTGTTGACAGCGAGGTAAGAGGGTTGGGTGTTGTCAGAGACTCTTTTCGATACTGTACAGGCGATGATGCCGATGTCTCCGAGTGCAAGAGCACGGTTGCACAACATAGCTTGATGTGGTTTGTCAGTTGAAACATGAGCATCTCCCTGATGCACCTCCAGGTTTGTGTTGGCCAGATTATGCAAGGATGTTCCCGAAACCATCCGTCTCACCGTCAAGATCGCCCTCCAAACGTGACTGCCAATGTGCATGGTCACGCTCTCAGCATCATACCACGATGCCCAACCGCAGCAAGATGGCCCCTTGCCAAGTGAAACTGGTGGACAGCATCAAATCCGCAAATATGCAACATGATACACCAGCATTCTGGCCACAGTCACATCAGCATTTTGGTCCAATCGAAGGGGCCCCAGTGCTTCTGGAAATCAGCGATCCAAGCGTCGTGGGTTCGCCGAGCCTGCCCCTTGTTCCTGCCATGCACGTCCTCTGGGGGCAGCCGCAGTAGGCCCGCCACCACCTTGCGCCCAAAGCCAGCGTCGAACGTTGACACATCGTCCACGACATGGACGTAGCCGTTGGAGAGGCCGAACTCCACAAAGAAGTATGGGAAATTGGGCGGGATGCTGCCATGCAGTCCCTGGGTTGCGCAACACAACAGACAACTCAGAATAGAATCTGGGGGCAGTGCTCTGACATGCCACCTTTTACATGGACTTATCCTGTTCAGAAGCCCCACAAAACAGCAAGATACTTGCACAGTGGTTCACCTTCCTCCCAGTTTCGATTATTCTCTTGGCATGGTGCTGACTCCAATCAGATGTGGCTGTGTCGATTGCCGCCTTGAAATGCATCGGCGCCTTGGCCAGCGTTCCTGGTGGCACCGGCACGCACTCCACCACAGCATGACGTTTGTAGTCGTCAAGGCGAAGGGCAGTCTCCATGAACAGCACCTCCTGGTCCTGTGACAAAAGCGAACAATGATCCTGAAAAAGGAGATAAGCAAGCATCAAAAAGACAGGCATCAACTGTGACAACAGCAGCAATGCATTTCACATTGTATGAGGCAATGTTGGACTGCTGCTGTCACAATGCGAGTCGTTGCTAAGATACATTTTGGATGAGAAACTACCAAACATGTGTCATTCAAGGCTATGGGACAGCAACACGATCTCCTCCCAGAAAGTCCCATACATCACAGAGAAGAACATAATCTCTGCACAACCAAAACAAGGAAAACTCCTTCCAGCAACCCTGTGCTGCCCATGATCCAGTTGGCTCCATTTGTTGATGAATCAACAAGCACTGCCCATGCCACCCAAAGGCACCTAAACTTGTGGTTCCATCCAGTCCTGCACAGTTGAAAACAGGAAGAAGCCAACAATGGTTTCTCAAGTCCAGGTGTGCCGGAACTGTAACGATCAGCCAGGCAAGAACAGTGGCGCAAGCGCCGCCGGCCAACCTGACTCGCCCGAAGTCCATTTAGCAAGTAAATGGGAAATGGGCCAAGGACAGAACAAACCGCAGCCCTATCCCACCTTGCAGACAAGTTCAAACACCACCCCATGAGCAGAGCAATGGCACTTCCATACAATTTCACTTTCACAGGCAATATAGTACAGGTACGCCATTCAGGGAGGTCATGCAGGGCTTGCCATGAATGGGCAGAAAATCAAGAATGTTGAATTGTTAACAAAAACTCCCGCACATCTGAGAAAATCAAATGAACAATATATGCTCTAAAGTACGCAGGTTGTTCGATGCAGCGGAACCACATGCAAGACAGTCCTGGGAATATGCTAATTGACAAAGAACAGGAAGCAAACCTGAACATCAAAAATCTGACAGAAATCCGAAACCTAATCCTTGCGTGCAAGAGGTCTTACCCAATGCAACCACTAAACCAGATAAAAAAATGAAAATGGGAAATGAGAAACAGCAACAAGTGATAATTACACGATAGAGATGTGTGAAGACGAATGAAAGGAAGAGATACACAAAATGGGAGGAGGGAGCATTGTGAACAATAGAATGGCTGGATCTTTCTGCACCTGCCTTCACCCGCAAGATGCAAGGCTGTGCTGCCTTGGCTATCCTGACCACATAAATCCATGGAAATACAAAAGGCGAGAAACCGCTGATCGATGCAAACAGGCCAATGGACGTTGCTTCCTATCGTCTCGATGACAATGCACTCAGTGAAGATTCACGGCGACTGCCCAGCCCCCCACACCTTTGCATGGAACATCTGCAGCAGCGCCTTCTTGAAGTTGCGCAACTCCGTCCAGGCGTCGTCCTCGCAGCGGCGGCAGGACGGCGTGTGCTCCATCGGCACGATCATGCAGTGCCCCGGCACCAGCCGCCCCCTCTCAGGCAGCCTCAGGTACGCGCAGTTCCCCATTGCCACCATCAAGTGCTTGGGCCGCCTGGGGCACGACAAACAATACACGCACCCCTCCTCCACGGCGTTCAGCCTCTTCAGGTCCGTGATCTGCCGCCGCTTCTGCCTGTCCACCTCCCCGCCCCCCTCCCGCCTCCTCCTTCCCCCGCCCCTGGCCTCCAGCGCGTCTATCCCGACATCGAAATCGTACTCATCGTCCGCATTCATGTCCGCCGCCTTGAATTGCTTCCGCCCGGCGATCCTGCGAGCCATCGCGGCGTCCACGTCGCCACCGTCGTCGCCGTGGCGCGCGCGCTTCACCAGGGTGCGCAGGTCAGCATCATCATCATCGAAGTACCTCTCCCGCTTGCCGTCGCCGCCGAACTTGGTCGATGGCTTCCCGGAGGAGCGCAGGGCGGCCTCGCGGCCAAAGGCGCCAGGCGCGGCGCGGCCGTGCGCGTCCACCATGGGCAGCTGCACGACGGCGGGCTCATCGCTCCTGGCCGTGCCCTCGGCAGCACCTTCCTGCTGAGCAGAGGCGCGCTTCCCCTGACGTAATCAATCACAAGAAGGTGATCAGCAGTCGATGAGAGGGATGGAGGAAGGGTCAAGGTTGCAGCAGGACTCGGCTTGGATAGGCCAGGTTTCAAATTGTTGCGGGAACGGTGTTCTTGTTGAGATCCGTTTTCAAGTGGGGACTGAAGCCGGGGGAGTCGCTTCAAGTGCGGGAGGGCAGCATTGCTGAAGCAGGTCTTGTGTGGCATCACCCATGCAAGAGAGAAACGATTCAAGCCATGTGGAAAAGAGCAACAGAGAAGCAAATGAAAAACCTGCTGCGCTCAGTTCCAAGAGACTGCTTGAAAAGCTGCAGGCCACTGACATTGGCGATTCCAGGTTCGTTTTGTGCCGCCATTCCTGGAAAGCGATCGACAGAGAAAAAGGAATGCAGAGATTTTCTGAAATGAATCTTGCTGAGGAAATCGGATAGCATCGTTTGCCAGCAGCATAGAGATTACCCCAGAGCTATTGCACATATTTAGGGCTCCATTGTGCAACCCAGAATGGAAGCTTCCACCCACCATAAGTCGGGCCCTCAGCAGGTCTGCTGCAGAGCGATTTGTGGCTTCAGTGCCTGCACGCAAGCTACCACCGCCCCCACCACTGCTGCCCAATCGTTCGCTTGGTCGCTCAGGTGTGCTCTCCGCCTCAGTCCTCTGGGGAGGCTTTGGACTCTGCTCTCTGTAACTTTGCTCTGCGACCTGAGGATTATGTTGGTGATCTTCTTCACCTGTAGCCAGGGAGCCAAAGCATTATGAATGAGGCTGGAATACGCTCACAATTTTCAACACCCCCAAAGCCAATGTCCAGACAAAGTTCCAATTCCTCTCCCACCTTCCAATAACTCGTGTAGGGCAGGTGCCAGGTTGGGAACTGCAAAGCTCCACTGAGGGCAACAAAATCGAACAAACAGGCATTCTGTCCACCTGCATTCAAACTCAAATGCCCGTCAGGGGTTTGTACAAACACAATGAGCAATGCCTAAGCTAGCTCAAAACGCTCTTCCCAGCAGGGAGCCTCAGATGCGAGGGAAAGAACATTCTTGACCTTGGTGCACGAGTTTCTGGTCACCCATTCAAAGATTTTCACATTCACAATACTGCCCCATTTTATTGGCCTCTCAACAACCAAGCAAATGACACCTCCCACCTTTGGAGCTGGTGCTCAACCATGTTAGCAACAGCAAATTTTATGAACAGCGGCAGCCAGTTTCTCAGTCTCCCAACTGGCCCAAACATGAACATTGGAAGCCACATGGATGGGTCAAAACCCAAGCAACCAGATCCCCACCCCATCTACAAAAGCACTCAGAAAAAAACACCTTGGCTTTGGTCCTCATCCTTGTATCGCTCCATAAACTTCCCATCATCCTCAAACTTGTTCAAGCTTGGCGCCAACCTTGCCAGAGCAGGATCCAGGATGGGTCCTCCCCTGTCCCTTCCTCCTCCCCTTGCCGCCCCATCGGGCTTCCTCCATGACAGACTCCTCCCTTCCTGCGGCTTGCGCATCTTGGATGCATCGCTCTTCACGTCTGCCATGTACCCGTGGCCCCTGGCCCCACCATCCCTGGCACCCCCCAAGGCCCTTGTCCGCTCCCTGGCGGCCTGCTGGTGCGCCAACGCGTGCGCAGCCGGGGTTGCCATGGCGTCATGCAGCAGCTTTGCCACATCAATACCCCTGCTAAGCCCCAGCTCCTCAAGTGTCTTGCCTTCTTGCTTGGCTTGCTGCTGCAGCCGTTTCAGGCGTTTCATCTTCCAGCTTGCTCCGCCGTCCCCCACAAGGGCCCCTGAGGTGGTTGGTGCCCTGCCCTTGACCAGCCCACCCTTGACCGTCTCTGAGACTTGTGCGCTCTGTGGGACTGCCCTTTCCGCCTCGCTGGTGCCACCACCCTCCCGTTGGGGTGGCCTGCTCCTTGGCCGGGGTCGCAGCATCCAGTCCTCGCGCTGCATGCCCACTGCAGCACTGGCTGGCTCAGTGGGAGCTTCCTGAATCTGGCCAGATGCAGGTTGGGCATCAGGGGAGCTGGCATCGTCACGAGAAGATGGTGTTCCTGCCACAGGTACACAAGCCCGCTCAAGCAGTGTCACCAAGCATGTTTCTTCAAACAGCAAGGATGCAGTTCTTCTGACCAAGAATTACGGGATGAGGCCCTTCTGCATACTGTGAAGGATGATGCCAGGGTCTTCAAGAGCAGCAGAACAGTGCGAAACTGTGAGCAGCATGATCAGCAAGGAAACACACAACAATCAGCAAAAGTCACACAATAGTAACACCTGCGAGCCATCCAACGGCAGCGACTGCTCCAAGTGGTGCCCAGTGCCCCTCAAGTGCAAAGACCCACAAGCCTATGGCAAGTTTGCGGAAAGCACTTTCCACAGCCTGTATGGGGGTGACGGACTGTTTGGCCGATTGCCTACCTGCCGTCGACAGTTCTTCGCGCCGCTTGTGCTTATGTGCCTTCTTCTCTTTTTTGCCGCTTTTTCGATCCTGCGCGGGTTGAGGCTGATCTTCAGCCCAAGTCCCACAAACCTGCAGGACGGCCGGGAAACGGCCCACACGCGCAAAATACCTGACTGGTGGGCCCATGCTTGACACCAAGATGGTGCAGCAGGGGGCGGCGCTGAAAGTTTAGAAAGTCGCTACGGCAGCCTCAAACCAAGTGGTCGTAAAAAGCAGGCGATTCAGCGGTCCGTGGTTCAATCAGGCACCCTTGTCAATCAGCGCTGGTCCGCCAGCGTCTCGCGAGCACTGCCAAAGACGGACAGCGGCGCAGCCTACAGGAGGCCGCCATGCGCATGATTCCGGATCGGCACCAAACCGAGAACACCCAGCGCGGCATCGCGGGCGGGCGCCACCGGAGGAGAGGCGAGCGCGATGCGGGAGGGTGGCCGGCTCCGCCGCCGGCGGCCCGTCAAAGCAAGGGCGCATACCGCGTCCTGTCCTCCTCGCCCCCGTGCCCCGGACCTTCTTGTGCCTCTTGGCCTTCTTCTCCTTTTTCGCCTTCCCGTCGCCCATCTTCGCGGCGGCAACCCGACAACGGTGGCAACGCGACTGTCTCGGCAAAATTTGGAGGTATCCACCGAGTTGGGCCATATGGCCTTGAATAAAATAATATTACTGCCTGCACCAAATCGGTGACTGCTTGCACCAAATCACGTACACACTATGTCCTAACCTTCGTTTTAGGTTTAGGTTTAATTTTAGGGTGAGTTTTAGGTTAAAGGTTAGGTTTAGGGCAGGTTTATTTTTAGAGTTTAGGGTTTAGGTTTTAGGTTAGGTAAGTTTTATAGGGAGTTGGTGCAAGCAGTCACCGATTTAGAGCAGAAAGTCACCGATTTGGTGCAGCCAGCAATTATATGCCGCCTTGAATACTGAATATGATCCTTGAAAATGAGGACAATGGCTGGCTACTTTTGTTGTATCAGCCAGCCACTGCCATTATTTCAAGGATCCCGTATGGAATAGAAAAGGAGAAGACCACACAACTACCGCCGATGATACTTTGATCCTGCAGACCTACTGTCAGCAAAGGTAATTTCAATTTCGGGTGTGCTGATTGGTTAGAAGTGTTTGTAGTTCTTCTTGGCAAGCTTGCATCTCCCCTTTTCAGCTTCAAATGGATTGCATGTCTTGCTCCGGAGCCATTCCGAGCGCATCCGGCTGTGACCCGAGTTACTCCAATACAGTGTTTTTCGTGTGCGTTTCCCTGCGTTCTGGGCAATGTCTGCGACAAGTGCAATGCCTGTGTTTCACCTGTGGCTTCATTTGCAGCCAGGGACGCTGTTCAGGAGGTTACGTGAGCAACATAAATCTCCCTTCACGCAGCCAGTGATTGACGCCGCAGGGCAGTGATTCAACCTCGTTCTAGTTCAATTATTGTTCCTGCATTGTTGCGAAACTTGCTCCATTGCTTTCAATGTTGCAATTGGGCGCCCTTATACCATTTAAGTGATCAGCAGTTGAACTCACAACTTTCCATCAATTTTGCCAAAAAAAATTCATGGCAACTAGTGACGGAAATAACCACTAGGGAAAAAGGGCCGAATAACATGTGTTCAAACGTGTAAAAAGTTTACAGGTTTGTGTTATTTTTGTGTTCTTAGCGTGCAAAACTTTGATGAAATGTGTTTCATGTGTGTTCGCAAAAGTGTTATTTGGCCGTGTTTTTGCTAGTGAACTGCAAATACGCTCTGATGTTCCATTAGACCAGAAAAGAATAACACGTGATTTCCTGTACTCGGAGCAGCTTTGAAGAGAAAATACCATCCGGGTTCCAGTTCGAGGAAATGCGATACCGCTTTGGCGTTGGCTAGAACATTCATCCATTCGAGTCTGAAATCAGCGCCGAGTCCTTAGCTCGTGCACTAGAACGATGAAATCGAATTGCATCAATGCGATTGGGGCCATGCTAATTCAAATTTCGTGGCTGCAGACACACTTAGGCGAAGCGCCGCCGGCAAGGTGGTCATCCAGTTTGAGGGTCCGAGCGGAGCAACCGCCGTTTCTGGTGGACGTTGGCGGGTTTCAATCAGAAACATCTCTATCAATCCAATCAATTTCACACACGAGATGCATATGAAATTCAAATGCAATGCATTTGAGATGCCATCTCAGATATTCATTATTTTTATCAAATTCATATTATGAATGCACGCCAGATGTGCCCTCAACTTGGAATCCTCCTCCATCGCCTCTCTTCTGAAGACAGACAGCTGCTCACAGAGCCATATGCCATTCCACATCGCCTTCCGTCTGATGTCCGTTGATTGCCATACTTTGCGAAAATTCCCCAGGGCGCCATTTTTTAAAACGACAAAATGAGAGCCCAGAAAATCGACGAAAATCTCTGGGCTCACCCTCAGTGCTGCATTGCCGAATTTTCACGAAAAACGCATGGCCGTTTCTGGAGTGCTTAGGACAGGGCGTCCCAGTTTGCCTCCATCTGTTGCGGAGTCAGGGCCGTGTTGTTGGATCGCGAAATCTCAGCAGTGACCGCTTTTGGAAGGTCTTCTGCGCTGCGGGGTCCTTGACGATGGTGCCCCCCTCCAAGTTGATCGCGGGACATTTTGCCGCCCTCAGATGTGGCCATGTCGGAATCCCGCGGCCTGCACAGGCGCACTTTGGTGGGGCGCAATGCAACAGCAGACAACTTGAAGCAATATAAATACCTATATCTATACCTACCAGTTACTATAATAATTGCAAATTGAATGCTTGGTTTCCTTCAAATTGGCAGGCCGTAACCCTATTTTGCAAAAATGAATTTCAATTTTCACATTGAAAGATTTTCGGAGCCAGCGTGTTTAGGTGGATGCATCCGTTGCTGGCAGGCTTGGTTTTACGTAAAAACTGATCGCATTTGCGTTTTTACGCGTAAAATAGTTTTGACGGTTTTATGATTGAGAACCCGAAAAAATATGTAACGTGAAAATAGCCCCGTGTGCATAAGGGCAGTACCCACAGATTTGGGCAGTCCGGGGAGTGGCAGTCCGACGCTCTGGAATGGGTAGAAAGCGATCTTGTTTTTGCATGTCGTCGTTGCCCTTGCCGAAGGCGAGGTGGACACCGTGTTGCAGGTGCTGGAGATGGCTGAGAACTGATCGCTGTACGCGACTTTCACCACGTAAACTGGGCGTCCAAACGAGACGTAACAACGTAAAAGTAGCCTTTAAAATAGCCCCTTTCGCAAATTTGTGTTTTGGCGCGTTAAAACGTAAATGCAAAAGCGCAAACGTAAACATAAAGCCAAGCCTGGCGCTTCGGAACTTGTCAATTTCAATCTCCTATGCCCAGCTCAGTTTTGTGCATCTTCACGATTAAACCTCTGCCGGGAGTGTTCATGACGCAATCACACGTTGTCATTATTGGCCCAGAATCACACATCCTAGGGCATGTGCATACCAATATCGCAATCCACAGTGTGGCTCCCGACGTACCTTGGGTTCTGACCCACGGAGCAGTCGATGATATTGACTCCAGCCAAGTCACGGGGGGAGGCCACCTGCAGTCCCCTCGCGTCGTACAGAGAACCGTCCAGGAGAAAAAGAGTGTCGCACGCTGGAGGGTGCTTGCGTCCATTGTTGGCGGGATCTTTCAAGGCAGCTTCAGTTTCTGTCATTTTCGAGGCCGCGTCTTTCTGCCCTACGCCCGTCTCTCCAAGGCAATCAATGGCCACCGAACTGATCAGGAACAGGCTGTCACCCATCAAGCAAATCAAGTGTATTGACTGCTTTTTGCTTGCTTTTAAAGCAAGCTCCAATGCACAGCTAATCTCAAATTAGTCACCACCATCGCCGTAATTCAAAATCAGTCAGGTCCCTGCGCGTTGTGAATCAGGTGACTAATCGACGCCCAGACAAGACAGTGGCATGAGCTGCATTTTGTTTAGTCAATGTCATCGCACGTAAGGAAAGTAGGCTGCCGCCAGCTCCCGCCATTTCCGTTTTGCAGAATGCCAGCGTCTGCGAGCTGTTTTCCAATCTTTCCATGCTCATTCCCGCGCCTACAACAGTGCGCGTTCGCGACACCCTAGATCTCTGGAGCTTTTCTATCGCAATGCCAAGCGACTGCTTAATTCTACGCCAGATTGACATCGTCCAGAAACGCTTCATTCGCGTCGTTTCACAGACAACTCTCTTTGGATATTTGGGACAAGTGGACTCTGGGTGCTGTTCACCAGAAACAAGGCCAAATGGCAGGTGCCGGGGCATGGCATACGCCTTTAAATCGTGCTAACAATGTGAAAATGCCTTGGCAACGTTCAAGCGTGACAGTGGGGACAGACTGGGGTCCTGCAAAATGTGCCGCACAGATGTGATCATCTGCCAGGGATCACACAGTTCCGTGTCCAAATATTGCACGCTGTTGATTCGTACTCTTGACTTGTCGCACAACAGCTGACTGTTGCTGACAACGACGCAGCACAGCTGAACAAGTGCAAAAAACAGTCATGGCAAGCTTGAAGGCTGCAAAACATGTTCGAAAATGGAACTGCCAACGCGTAGCTGAAGCCCAGCACATTCTGACCAACTGCTTATGACAAGGGTGACAACCAAGCATATTGGAAACATACGAAAAATAGGACTTGCTCCTACTTCCTCCCTCACTGTTGCAGTGGCTTGGGTTTCCAGAAAAGCCAGATCATAAAAAACACCTTCATATCGCCAACAAGCATCTGGCAGGAGCCTCGCCACCGCAACATGTGATTTATCAGCATTCCTTGATCTTAGGATGCATGGCAAAATGAGTCGACGGGTACCCCTAGTGCTGGTCGGCACAACCGCGATTTGTAACGTATCTTTATGGCAACCCCAGGGGCATGCTCGGACGTCAGCAAGACTAAACGCTGGAGCAGCATGTGCTGCAGTAGTTTCTGATACAACGCAATACCGCGCAGTGTCGCAATGTTGCAACAACACTTGGTGCGAACTGATATGGTTATCACAAATTGTGATTCACAATGCACGAGCAAGGCAATGTGTAGTACCACCGGCAGTACGCGCGGCTGTATACAAGCTTTGCGTACATGTTCGTGCGCCCAATGCAATGCGCGTCGACTTGATACGCAGGCCTCGCTGGTTGGTTGAACCGAGCGCAGCTTCTCGCTCGTTGTCATGTTCAAAACTGTGTCAGCTTCTATGTCAGCTTCTCAGTCACTCGCTGTCAAGTTCAAAACTTGTTCGTCCAGGCCACCGCTGGGCCATCCAAAACTCCTTAAAAGCATATCCAAAACATGCACAAGGTGTTGCACAGCGCCGCCGTTCACCTCTACACCAATGCACAAACGTTGATAACTTACAATCGGAAACAACCCAGTCCAGCTGGAGCCTTAGGGGCCCAAAAGCACCAGTTTCCCACAGCAACACAGCAACTGCAGAAGCTGCCGCTCCCAAAGAGCAGGCAAGCGACAGACAGCTTCAGTCACCTCCTTCCCGAGCAAGGAGACGACCTTCCGATCCCTGCAGCCCTGGGCGGCCCTGGTGAAGTCAGCACTGCCCAGGCAGTTTCGAGAATGACTTAACCCCGGCATGCAACCCATGCCCGCTGACGGTCGCAAGTGTGCTAACGCCAGCAGGGCACGCACTCAGGTGCCAACAAGAGCACGCGCACGGGCGTCGCGTCGGCCCCCATTGCACATGAAGAACACCCGTCCAAGATGTGTGCCACAAGTTGGCAATGCCAATGGCGGAAAAAAAGACCGGCGCACTGTCAGAACTCCGCGCGCAAGAAAGTTCAAAAATGCCGTCGTAGAGTTTGACCACCAAGTGCGGTCAACTGGAGCAGAAACACATGCAAAAATGAGTTGGCAGGTCATCGCAGAGGCTGACCATGCTCAACTGACCCAACGCGAGCGCCGTCGGCCTCGCCTGTAGTCCTTGAGGAACGCCTTGCCAACTCCCACCAGGGATTCTTTCCAACACCTTCGGAAAGAATTGTCAATCACCCATGCTTGGTAAAAGGAATTTGGCGGCGTGAAGTAGCCAGGAGGCAGCCTGGAAGCACGCTGGAAGCGCGTGGGAAGCATCGCAGAGGGTGCCCTGCCCCACTATGGCCTCAGGCCCGGTGGCGGTGCGAGTGCGAGCCCGGCGCCCCTGTGGCCAGCATGTCCACGCCCATGGGGAACATCCTGTCGGGCATCCTGGACTGCAGGATGGGGAAGCTGATGGGGCCCTGCTTCATGCCCCGCGGCGTTGCGGACTCTTGTTCTGCAGAGTTCACGAAGCTCTCCAGGACACTGAGGACGCGATCAGAGGCCAACCTAAACACAAGTGAGGCAGGCTCTCAGCAACTGAAAGGCCTGGACAATGTGAATGAAAATCCAATCTGGGCAAAACACTGAGAATGTTAATCGAATTAAAGCACACGACGATACAGCCTTTGCTTTGGTCTCAGAACAGAGCAGATGATCATCTCCTCCCATCATGACGGGAGGGTGATCGGAGGCTGGCCTTTGCACATGGTGATGGGTTGTCATTTGCTGCAAAGTGTGAGCTGGTCTTCAACAAATGAGACAATTTTCAGCTTTGAAAATGGAAAGGTGGTTGGAGACACAATGGGAGGCCAGACTACGCACGATAGAGATGGCTGCCAATTCACAAAAAGTCACCAGTTAAGTCGAGTGAGGTCGAAGGCAAAGAACGCAGGCTGCTATCCACTTTGCAGAATATCAGGCGGATCGATGGGGTGGGATGCAAGCTGGGAATGCAGCTGACCAACATCGAAGTCCAACAATTCTGCACTCTGCATAGCAGGCTCACCACAGCTCCCCCTGCATTGCAGTGACTATCCTTGCACTTTTGTCTCTTCCACCAATATATCATCACAGTTAATGAGAGCAACCAGAGCAGAAAAGAAAGGGACAAACCATAACTAGAGTCAATACCAATAAGACTAGGAATGGTAAGCTATCAGAGGAATAAGAGCAGATAATAGAACTGCCAATACTTTTGTGCTGGGTCGTGATGCTTGATACCGCCTTTCACAGTGCCAACCTTGTTAAGCCAACAATAAGAGTTAAAATAGCAAACTAATTCAAAAATCAAGAACATATAGCCCTTTCACTCATTGATCCTTTCACCTATCAGTTTCACAGCACCCATATGTTATGAGATGGCCACTCAATACCCCATCAGGCAAACTTCTACTGACATTGTGCATCACATTTTGTTGCTCATTATCTTTGTTTTTTCAGTTGCTACCTACAAAATGACCATGAATATCAATAAAGCCAGTGGCACCTCAACCTGATGTTCTGCTGCGAAGTTCACTCACTTTTCTAACACTGTGGACAGCCGGTAGTCGGGGTCGACGAGTTCCTTGAGGCCTAGTGTAGATCCAGGGCCCCGCCTTGAGCCAACTGCATAATTCACCCCACATTCAGGCAAATGTACATTTACAACAAGAATGTGATGGAAGCTGGAGGAATGGCATTATGTGGTGAACAACATTTGTCAAGTAGAATAGCAGAGCGACTTGATCCAGTACTTCAGCAATAGAAGCAGCTCCTGAATGAATGCCAAATTGCTTGCATTGCTAAAGTATTGAAACAGCAGCACATTTGGCCAGGACCTTTGGGGCAATGAATCATTGGACAGCAGCATGCCTGGCGCTGATCCAGCACCAACAGCAAGCCTGTTCCCATGGGCCGTTTTTTGCTTCAATCCAAAACATTGCCCTGGGTTGTTCTATATTCCAAAGTGCTCTCTCAAGTTGGGTTCTGAAAGGTTATGACAAATGCCATGAATGCAGATGTGCACAAGGGAATTGAAGCACAGCTGCTCACCAAACCTGCCTGGCAGTCTTACCTGGGAAACGACGGGTGAACACGGATGGATAATGAGACAGGAAGGACAGAAAAACAGGTTGATAGAAAGATCAACTGACAGCAAATCGGAGTGTGCTGCACCTCGCTTGTACATTGCAGATGTTTGGCTGAATGACAGCATGGAGCTGCCGCCTCCTATGGACTTCACAGACGCAGTTGGAGAGTCTGGATGGTCGCCTGTCAGCGCTGACAGTGGCATGGACAGGCCCCTTTCGCGAGTGCTCACTGGCGGGGCGGTGCTCGTGTCTGGGTTCTGCCTTGCCTTGTCCTCTTCGTGGCGCTTCTTTGCACGCTTCAACAGCCTGATGGCTGTCATTCGCTGCTCCTCCTTCTTCACAAGCTGCTGCCTGGAAGGTGATTTACAAATCGGTGGTTGGCAGGAATGTCTTTGTGCAAGGCAACAAACCAGGTTCCAGGCCCTTGACCAGAGCAGTTGGTGACCACTGACAAGCAGGAAATCGTAGGAATGGGGGGTGACATCACCTTTTAACCTCAAATGGTGTGCGGACAGCAAGAATTAAGAAGTAAAAATAGCAAACCATAAGAAGCAATTCCAGAGGAAATCTTCCAAAGTTCTTGCACAGCACAACATTGCCCTGCATCAATCATGCAGTGTACGGTTCAGATTCCCCAATTTTGACAAACAAATGTCACTATGAGTGATGTTCGCAACTGCATGGACCATATTCATGACTGCGAGTGATGTCATGTCAGGAATTTTGGACTGTTGGTAGACAGTTTTTGAGTGCATGTTGTGGGTCACACCACATCGACAAGTGGTGGACAGCTTCCTCATCAAGGCAGGGCAGGGCAAGGAGCACTCCCTGTCACCTGCTTCATGGATGCCAACTTCTATACAATCAATAGCACCATCTGGAGTAGGCAGTGACAGCAGGGCAATGAATGGCTACCAAACTATTGGAAGGCCAATTCACAGATTGAGTGGTCTGCATCCCCTTGTAGATAGTGTAGTGTGATTTGTAATAGAGCAACAACTGCGGCTGAAGAGATCGCACCACAGATATAGTCAGCACTGCAGGAGGCAGTTCATTCCTCCCACAAAGATCCCTATATCATATTCATGATCAATTCCCAATATCATCAGGTATCACATGTGCTGGCTGAAGAGATCGCACCCAGATATAGTCAGCACCGCAGGAGACACTTCATTCCTCCCAACAAAATCCCTATATCATATTCATGATCGCTCCCCAATATCAACACGTACATAACATCGAAGAAAGTCACAGTCACAGCACCACAACAATCTGAATCTTGCCACGACAGTAGAATAAATTTAGATCGCAAGTTTGCCAAAGGACATCCTTTGGGACAACATCCTTGGATCGCACAGAACATGACCGCCTCGGGGGTGGCAGTTTTGGGAGGTGCTTGTGCATCTGACAATGTACAAACAAACAACAACAAGAAGAGCTGAGTATAAGATAAAGGAAGAGAAACTCAAATAAAACAAAATAGAGTTGGCTCATCAGTTGTGGCAAGTAGAAACTAAGCAGGAGTGTGCTAGTAAATCCCACAAAATGACAAACAAGGGCCTTCAAGGACAACGGCCCTGGTGCACTTGTTGGATGAGATCGACCACAAACGCCCGCAAGATAACTCTGGACAAAATATGGCTAAGAGCTGACCATGGCTCAATGCCAGCGACCCACCTCAACGCTCTGACCTCCGACTGCAGGTCCAGGTAGCTCTCAATCAGCTGCTCGCGCGTCAGCTTCTCTGCCTGCAAGGAATGTCAGTCCATCCCCTCAGGCGATGGTCCCCCCTTGGCAGAATCAGATCGCCACGTCAGTCATTTTTTCGGCGAATCACCAACTCTGAAAGATGCATTCTCGGCCCCCATGGCGATGCGCGCCCACCAACGTGGAGCAACCTTGATTGTTGCATGATTCTCTTGTTGTACAGATGATTCCGGAGTGCGAGCAGAGCCCTGAACTCAAAAACTTTGGTATGGAAGAGGGCTGTGGATGTTCAGCGGGTGGGGCCGTTGTGTGGGATGGGCGCTCCCATCATAATCATATCCATGCGTGTCAAGGCGGGCATCACATCCCACAACTCGCCAGTGGGCACACAGCGCGATCGGCTGTGCCAACCACGCATAGGCCACTAGAGCATTGGCCGTTGACAATCATGTGCCCTTGCCAGCGCAAATCCCATTCGAATGGCGGCCAGCCGATCGCCCCCACAACGGCCTCCGGCCACCACGATCTTGACGCCATGACCATTGCCAGCCTTGCAAGAGTACCTTTTTCAAGCGAAACGACCCCCTGTCTGCCCAAATCCGTAAAGGAAGGAAATTTTCAAACGAAAAGGCTCCCAGCGACTTGAGATGGATTCCATTTGGAGGTTAGCGTGGACGTCGATCGTGCTTCGGACAATCCGCGCGCGGACTTGCGCCCCAAATCGCCTTGCAGGTGCGGGGTTTGTGCATTGTCACTCTGAGACACCCAAGTCAAAGGGGGACAAACACACACCAATCCATTCACCTTCATCCCCACAGCTCCGGCGCATCTTCCGCGACGGTTCCGATACCCCCAACCGGCAGCAATCCGCGCCAAACGGAAACGATCCCAACCCGCGCGCTCGACAGCGAGTCGCCACCGCTATCCTTTCCCACGTTGAGTCCACGCTCCTCCCCGCAGTTTTCGCTTGCAGTTCAGAGCACACCAACCACCCAGAAAAAGATGACAGTGTCGCAAATAAGACAGCGGATTCGCGACATAGACCACGGAAATCGATGATTGAAAACCCACCTGCTGCCTCTCTACTTCCGTCGCCTGCCGCCCCTCTCCAACTTGCAAGCCTCCTCCTTGCCTACCGTCGGGCACCGCCTCAAGCGAGTCCGCCAACCCGTTCCCCTCTGCCGCGCGCTCCGCGCCATCAATGCCGCGATCCCCTGCCGACGCCACAAGAAACACCGTCCAATTCACGCTAAAATGAACAAGCCAAAGGATAAAATGGCTCATTGGCCACAGAGAGAAGAATGCGGCAGGCGCACACCGTTTCAGTCAATCTTAACAACCCAGCCACTGGCCACACCGCGCGGTTTGCTCACAGGGTTGGTTAAACCTGTCGCATGATTTGCGAAGCCGCCAAGTCAAACCATTCCCCAGCGCAAGAAATGCAATACACGTCCAGGCGAGGCGGGTCCGGCGCGATCGCAACGGCGGGAGACGCGTCACTCGCGTAACAGAAACCGTCGCCGATGCCCGCAGCACGCGGATGGCATTCCCGCTCACCGATCCCATCTTCGAGGGCCGAGGGATCCATCCGAGCAGGGGCTTGGTCCCGGGTGGGCTTGCCGGCAGGGGGAGGGTTGGCGCGGAGGAAGCGCTGTCGCGCCGCGGCTAGCGTGCTGGGGCGACGGGTTTGAGCGCCAAGGCGTGTATCTCTCGCGCCTTGGCAACCGGCTGTGTTGCAAAGTGGGGTTGAGCCACGTGTAGGGCCCGAATGCACCGACGCGTGGTGGCCCGTAAGCCGTAGAGATTGGTAGACGGTCGCCCCAAATTGCAACTTTGGTAGACAGTGCATTGCTCGCCCGGCGTTTCGCAGAAACGCCAGCGCCATGTTTTGCAAGGCGGCCTTTTACAATAGCGCCTACAAAGAGCGCTTTCCAAACCATCCTGCCGAGCAAATTTGTTCGCTTAATTTCCGGTCAAATTGATATTGAAACGCCTGCAAAGCAATTCGGTTTGTGGTTTGGGGACCCCCTAGACCACTGCGCAGGAGGGCGCCGTGTTGAGGGCCCCTTGAAACCTCCACCCAAACCGCCTCGAGCTTCTCCAGTCTTTCCAGCACTTCAGAGCGACCCACAATTAAGTGTCCTATACTACAACAATAGGCCAGCGCGCACAGCCCCATCTACGGACCAGAGGGCCCAGGCGCCGCCCACCTCCGCTCCCCGCCCCCCTTGGCGCCACACCCGGTGGGCCACCCGGCGGCTCCGCGCCACATGGCCTCCAAGGGGGTCGCGCCCGCGGGGCGACAAGTCAAGCCCCTGCCCTGTGCCGCTGGTCCCTGCCCGAGATTCGATGCCGCCCTGTTGAGAGGCACCCGGCGGCCGCACCAGCAGCGGCTCCAGAGGCAGGTTGGAGACAGGCTTCGAGTGCAGGTGCGGGCGCTGCGCGGTTGAACACATTGACGGTCTTCAATTCGAAGATTCGATCGGACGCGGGTGCGGCGGGCGATTTTGATCCCGCGGGGTTGATCGGCGCGAGGGACGATGCGATGTGGCGTGCTGTCGGGGTGCATCATCGATGACCACGTCGGGATGGGCGCGGTGGAGTGCTTGCGCGGCGGATGAGGGGGGCATCGCGGCCACGCTCTGAGGCGAAGGGTGCGCCTGTGGAATGCGGCGTTTCTGGTTGGATTCGGTGTGGGATGCGTGGGGAATCGTCGCATTGGTTTGGTAGCTGCCCCAGGCAGTTGAGCCCCGGCGTCGATGCCCTTGCCGAGTCCTGATGGTCCCTTCCGGCGGCCTCTGCGCGGCCCTTCCGACTGCATCCTCCTCCCTGCACCTCGTCGCCTGCATATGATTGTCATCCCCTTGAGGGACGCCCCCGCGCGACGCGAGGAGCCGTTGCTGCGGCGGCAGCCCCGGCCGTGATGGCCTCGCGCGTTGGTTTGAAGGGCCATGGACAGGGCCCCGGCCCGCGGCCTCTTTTGCCCTCTTTCCTTTTTCTCCTCTTTCCCTTTTTCCCCTTTCTTTGGGGCCGCCGCTTCGGGCGACCGCGATCCAATTTCCTCGCGCGAGCGCGACTGGCGGCCCTCCTGGCGACTCGCTCGCCGGCTGGGCCCAATGGCGGCAGATTGAAACGTGCATCGCCTCCGAATGTTGTAGTTTTGGGGTTGAGTGTGTCGATTTTGCGGCTGGGGTTCCTTCAGGCTGAGGTTGAGGCGGCACAGACCACGGGGGGTGCGAAGCAGGCGGAGAAGCAGCCCAAGGGCTGGTCTAGGTGCGCCAGTGATTCCCAACCCATTGTTGGACCCCCATTCCCTACCCAGTGGAAACGGGAACGCAAACACCCCAAACGTGCCACAACTCAGGTCTGCAAAGATCAGCCCTTTCCCCTCACAAGCTGGCGAGGGTGCAAGCATGTCATTAGCACTTTTGAGGCCAAACAAATTACTTACATGGTCGATCGGAACTTGTTGCAGCCCTCTGCTGTTCTGGAATTGTTACTTGCAGAGCGCTTGGGGGGTGCCATGACAGAGGAGTTGCTGGAGCTGTAGCCCTGCAAAAGGATGTTCGTTATGATGTTGGCATGGGTTGATATATGCAGGCATTCTATTTGGTTTTTATTGCAGACTCTGAACCAAATAATACTACCAACGCAGGAAAACCAACTGGCACTCTTTGTGCCAAGTGCTGTGTAGGGCCACACTTCACCAACAGAAGCAATGATCATGCTCATTTCTTCTCAGCAGCTTCCTGCTGCTCATGAAATGCTCCCAGGCTCAGTGCTTCTTTAGTCAACCGGTCAGTGGGAAGTGCATGTCATTCACTCAGAACAGGGAGGCAGAATCAGTGGTGCAGGAACCTTGTGCCCAGACCCCAATGACCTTGTCGGATTTTATGATGACATTTGACTTTGTGAGCGACCAGTAATTGGGACATGGCCTTGTGCTATCTGGCACATCAGCTTCTTATGCCGCTGTCACAGCAGAAACGTGTTGCTGGTGCTAGGCAAAACAGCATTGCAGGAACTGTTGCTGCATCAATTCTGTGCAGCTGTTGCTTGATACAATCTGTTGCCATGTCTCAGGTATGAGACGATGCTGGTGCTGCAGCCTACGCTGAATGAGGTTGAGAGGTGAGTGATGGTACAGCTGCTTGCATTTCACCCGAATATGGACTCAAACAGGGGTTTCTCTTGCAGTCCCAGTCAGTATTGTTCCTGGCATAATGGATGGAAGTAGATTGTGCGATGGCTGACATGCACTTGCACGCACATATTACCAAGACTGCTTGCATTGCAGTGCAATGTGTGTATTTGGGCTCCTGTAGACATGCCAATGCCCATGCCAAACCAGGCCTTGCAGCTAAACAGGGCGACCATTGTGGTTGGTGCTTGCATGCCGCTCCTCTTGAGACAGAGCATGGAACTGACCTGATGGCCCTTGTGTTCCTTTTGAAGCAAAATGAGTTCCAAGTTGTGCTTGCACACTTGAACCAACGGTACATCAAACGAAAATCCTCTGCAGAGATGTGAATCAAATTTGATTGACTATGCCAAAGCACTACGGACAATTTCCTTGCCACTTATTGGGCAATGTTGGAAGTACCATGGAAAGATTGGGTGGCTGGGCTGTCTTGCCTTTTCTTTAGATGTGGGTGGGATGTACTTGCCGCACTTTTGGCCATTCAACCATCCCAGCTTTGAGGCGAAGCTCGTAATGCTCACAATCATGCAAAGGCGCTGCTCAGCCAAATCACTCTTTTCATTTGCCAAGTGCCAAGCCTTGTACACATGCACCACTTATGGCCAGGTGTTGAACAGAAGTTGCTGGGCATGAAATTGTCCCTGGAAAAAACTCTGTTTGCTGCAGAGACATACCCTTAAGCAGCATATTGTTTGTTTTATACTGTGTGGTACTTGCGTATTTACGTGTTTTATACTACGTGGTACATATTGTTTGTTTTTATACTACGTAGCACTTACGTGACACTCCCAAGGTATGCGGCTCTGTTCTTGTAGGGATGAGGAGCTGGCTCAGTTCGAGGCATTCCTGACGACTGAAGGCTGCAAGGACATTGAAGTGTCAGTGAGGGGGAGGCACAGGATGGCTTACCCAATCAAAAAGTAAGTGAAGCACTGCAGGTTGTATGTCAACCTAGGCTTTGGCTTCTTTGGCGACGTGTACCACCTGCCTGGCACCTGCTCAATGGGTGCCTTGGTTGATTTGCGATATGCTTGTACTGGAACAACGGTTAAAAACACGGCCGCCTGCTCAATGAATGGCTGTTGCTGGTCTTGCAATGGTGCACTGCTGATGAGAGTTGAGCATTGCAAGAATTCCTCCTGAAAACTGCCTTCCAAAGCACAAAAGCAGCTTGCTTTTGCACTGCAAAGGTCAATGGGATCAAAAACAGTTGTCATGGCCTGTGACGATGCTGCGTCACCTTGTTTGTGACCAATCGCAAAGTCCCCCATGCATGTCATCTTTGCCTGTTCGTGTGTGCCAACCACTTGACCGACATTCTTGTGCACAGGCACCAGGATGGCATCTATGTGATGTACACCTACACTGCCCAGCCAGAAGTCTCCAAGAAGGTGCAGCTGTTCCTCTCCAAACGCACATCTGGTGGGGATGAGAGCATCATCAGGCACATGACGTTCAAGCTGTGACTGGCTAACACCATGGGCCGTTGCGCAGCGCCCGAGCAGCTTGTCGCATTGCATTGCGGTGGCCTGTCACAACATGTCATGGCTGCTCATCACAAAGACGTGGGCCCCGCATGGCAACGCTCAGCATGCAACTTGCTTGGTTGGCCAGCAAATTTTCCCTCATGCTGCTGGCCGCTGGCCGTGCGACTGAATAGCAGGTGAAGAGTTTTCGAGAGGTGTGTTGTGAGGAAGGGTTCGTGTTGATGCTAGTTTTAACTCTGGTTGGCCTGACGGGCGGCTGTGCAGCGACTGGATGGACGGCCGGACTGTGGTTTGTCTCTGCCCTGTCCTTGTCCCACTGTGGTTCTATGGGCGGTTGGCACATGCTGGGACCACCATGTGCCGTTTCCCTTCCAAGACGACATACTGCAGTATATTCGACCCTTCCGCATCAAGGACGCTTAGCATTGTGCTTTTCGCTCCGCATTTTGTCGGAGCGTTTACTTTTTTGCGTTGCTCCACAAAGTTTATTTAAATAGAACGTCACTTGTTTAATTGTTTTCTCCGCACAAAAGGTCAAGCGTTACGTTATTATGTGGAAGGGTTGAATATACTATGGTAGGTAGGGACCCAGCATCAGACTCAAAGATGTGCAAACTCGACGGCGTTTGTGCAAATGTATTCTTTTGGACGAATGTGCCGTTGTGTCGGCGCATTAGTGAATGCCTGTGCCCACGACAAATGTCAATAGTTTCAGCATATGCATCGATATATTGGACAGCACTGAACGTGCAGCATGAGGAACCGAGGCTCCAAAACAGACTCTGATTCAGGTATGTACTCTGTAGTGGCGAAATGATTGAGTGCATTGAATCCCTCCCCTGCTCCGTTTCACGTCATGCCATGGGCGAATTCACCCATGAAATGGATACAACAGTTGCACCAGAGAGTTTTGTCACCGAATGCTGGATACGGCAACCCATAATTGCCGCTTGTATCACTGCGGAAGTTAGCGATCATCGTTCAGTGGGCGTTCCCCTGGGGGCCGCTCAAAGGAGCAGGTGAGCCCTGGCCGCGCTGCAAATCCCTTGATCACAATCGCTTGATCGCTGCACTTCACTGATCACTTGGATCGGCATAGATCAGAATCCTTCTTGTGAAACATGCATTGATCCATTCTCTTTGCCGTGAAGGCTGCTGTGGCAGCCGGTCGTCTGTAGACTCTGTAGCTACCGAGGGCGGCGCACGACACACCGGCCACTGCCGTTGGCAGAAACCGCAGTGCTCCACTTTGCCGGCCCTTGATCAAGTGATGCACGAACTGAAGGCGCGGCGGCCAGGCAGGGGATTGTATCCCCTGTGAGGCACGCGTGCCAGGCGCGATTCTGCCAACAGCCCGAGGATGCATCAAAATCCCCGCCGCCCTACATGACCGAGTGAACTGCCCAATGTCCGTCGGCCCCAGCAGCCTGCTGCCACCTCAGCACCTCCCAAACATCCAGCATGCTCCCGGCGAGGCAAAGCGCAAGCCCAGCAATCACGGCAACACTCGATGCCACCCGATCCTTAAGGCATTCTGTGTGCTGAGCTTGGTTTCGGCTTTCCACTGTAACAGTGTTCAAGTAGAACAGTTCTACTTGTCAGCACACGACACATTAGAAGCCAAATAGGAAAATCCTACTGACGCATTATGTACGTGTGACGTGTGAAGCCACACACCACGCCTCCATCACATTCAACGTGACGGCCAGCCCCCGCCCTCGCCAGCCGCGTCCTCGTCCATTTCCCTGCGCTGCCCCTCGGCGAGTCCGAACGGATGCTGCCACGAAACCGGCTGGAAACAGCCGCGAAACTGCCTGAAAAGTGCCCCGTCCGCATTGAATCGCGCAATTTGCTTTTCGCTGCTCGAAACAACGTCTCCCCTAAACTACTGTGGGGCTCCGAAGGGTCCCAACAAGTCACGGCTGACATCTTCCTGGCAGCAGGTCGCCCCTCGCCCTGCTCCATAATGTACTGTACAGTACATTAGTGCCTATTGTACATACCGAATGAATCAAAATGGAGCCTGGTGGGACCCGGCGCGTTCGACATGGTTGACTTATGCACAATACGTCCCAGGTCCGGGTATGTCCGCGTGGTAGGGTCGGATTCTCTGCCACACGCACAAACGCCACCCCTCATTCCGAATGAACAGGGCCATCATTCACGTGACCACGAAAATTAGCAAACATGTGAGCAAATTCTACAAAAAATTTGAAAGGTCTGTTGGCTGAAATTTGGCTCATCAGCGCAAATCGACAAATGACCGGTCAAGTTGAATTCGGCAGACCGTTCTCGCGGTGAAAATGCCTTCATTTTTGTCGAGCGGGCAGGCGCCGCGGCCAGAGTGAGATCTGATTTTAAAGTCATAAGCCAGACACGATCTGTTGAACATTTGAGCTGGCGGCAATTGAGGGTACAAGATTCAGCAAATGCCGTTGGGCGTGTGCACGCTTGGCTGGGGCGACTTCATCCATGGCTGGTGGCAGCGGGTATTGAAGCGCTGCCCATTCAAGTTTGCGCCCGTGGAGTGGTCAAATGAAAGCTCAGTTGACTTCCGTGGGTGCGCAGCACCGCCCAGAGACGATCAAACACATGCTGATCAAAAGGTTAATTGCAATGAATTGACGACAGTAATGAGACATTTCCAGGGAACGCGTTGCATGCCCTAGCACATTCAACCCTTCCGTGTCAAACAATTTTAACGCTGCGCTTTTGCTTCGCATTGCTTTTTCAGAGGGTTATTTTTCCGTTATTCTCTTTACGCTGCTCCACGAACATTCTTTTCAAAAGCTTCATTTATATTATTGTTTTCTTCACAAAAAATACCAAGAGTTATGTCACTGTGCGGAAGGGTTGAATATATCACAGTAAGCCTCTGCTCGCCTTTGACGTTCCAAATCCCCATCCAGGGTTGGACTTCTTTTTTGAGTTGTACTGCCTTCCGAGGGAGGAGCTTGGACGTGCGGTGATGGGACCAGGCGAGCAGGCGCCGTGGCTCTGCTTCTCGTGCTCAGGGGAGATGAAGACCTGCGCCAGAAGCACGGATGAGCGTTCGGGATTTTACCGCCACGGAAATGAGAATGCGAACATATTTCAATATAATCCTGCGAAAGTACCATGTAAAAATACCAAAAAATAGCCAAACAATAACGTTGGTGAGGAGAATGGAACCAGATATTTGCAGTCAGTATCAACAAATTTGTTCCCACATGAATGCCAACTTTTGGCTGTTAATGTGTCGCACATCATCGCTAATACCACGATAAGTTATGTGGCTCTGACATATTTTCTGCAGAATCAAACGATCATTGCACTACCACAAGCACAACGCGATGTCAGAAGCATGCAAGCAAAGTTTCCTTGAAAATGCCAGCCAGCCTTGACGCAAGTATCCCAACCCTTCAGCTTTAAAAGCCTCTCGGCATATAAGCCAAACTGAAGATTCTCAGCTCCGGCTGAGGGATGTCAGTGCTTTCAGCTGAATATTGGTGGACGGTGTTGAGTTCCGTGGTTTCTAGAATTTATGGGGAACTGATGTAAAGCCGAAGTCGCGGAGGAATAGTGGTCGCCGGAAGCGAATAATGGAATTTTTTCCTCAACATTGAGCGGTTCGTCGTCTGGGAGTATGTAGTAATGGCCGATGCTCGATTTATTTGCAAAGAGCGGCACCCAGTGTTTATTTACGTGAAACATCGCAATGCCGCAGGATCCAATAAACTTGGGCAGCAATATTTGCTATTCGAAGTTGCCAGCGGTTTCGTGAATCCACGGCTTTATGCATATCGTGGCTCGTCTCGAAGTTAACCTCGGCAAAGTCGTTTCCGGATGATGAGTAAGCTCGCACGCCGAAATGCCCAGTGGCAACAGCGGACCAGTGGCAGCCAGGCTGATTGCTCCAGGGCAGAGAGAACGCAGGGCAGATAGCACCGGCGGGAGGCTGGTTGTTACCACATCCTTGTCGTAATTACAACTGTCGCATGAGAAATCCAATGCCCTTTGCGCCAATCTGGCAATGGCCTAGGCACGCGCTTCTGTTCGAATCCACCGAATTTGTTCGCAAGCACGGCTGGACAGCCCAGGCGCAAAAAAAGTAGAAAATTAAAAAATCGGCCAAAATACGCAATTTGAACCGCCCAAAATTCGTGCGAGACCGCTTCAACACGTGCAAATCATTTGCACGCATTCAGTCGTTACCGCACGGTTTGGTGCCATTGTCTTGCGAGAAATACACGATGCAACATGACTTTTGCATGATTTTCACACGATTTCCAATTGTGTTACACGGTACAAAATTTTCAAAACCGTGTGTTTTGGTCTGCTTTTTACTGGTGAATACCCCTTCAGCAAGCCCAATGGGTACTACGGATGCATTGTGTTTGCTGTCCGCTGCATCCACCTCGGAGAGGCAAAGGATGCGTCCCACGTGTTGGCGAGACCCGGGCGAGAAATGGAAGTGAGAAATGAGAGGCGAAGGTTCCTGGAATTTGGCATCCGATGTATACGCTGGAAGAGTGGTTCCAGAGCAAAACAACCTGCTGGTATAATCCGCCCGAGGTTTTCGGGTTTCAGCTCTGTCTCCAACTTGGAGGCAGATATTATGAGAGTTTGGGACGGGGAGATCCGAGCCAAACATGCCCGGGAAGGGGTGGGTGGGTGGGGTTGGGAGTTGGGCACTGTAAAATATATGCCCACTCACAACCCTTACTACTCAACAGCATGTGCAACCATCAATGTAAAAATTCCATCGTAGCGCGGCGTGGAATTTGGCCACCGGTACCATAAAACATGCTCCTCCGCACATGCGCTGCGACTATTTTCCTTGCTTCTCATTGTCAAGGAAAAATTCCCCGGCATCTGACAGGTTTTCTTTGCAGCAGATTTACTATTTGTATTAAAGACACCACCATGGATTTGCACAAACATGCGGCCGTGAGTGTGGAACAGGTGTGACATGAACACCGAAAGCGGAGCGCGTCCAC